TGAGCAAAACCGCCCACTGGCAGAGAAAGAGGAAAATAGCTAAAAATAAGGGCTTGGCTGAAACAAGACTGCTCCATACTAATACCATGGCAGGAAAAAAAAAAGGTATGATTTCTTAAAGAAACTGTTCATCATTCTATCAATAGAAGAGGGAGCAACTGAGCTGCAAAACCAGGCCGCCGACATGGACCCCTCCCTGCCTCCAACCATCTGGTCATCTATGGCCAGGAAAATGCAACATAAATAAACAAAAACAACCACCAAAGGAGCCCACCACCCACGCCGAGTTACAATAAAACTAAAACCGAAAAGGAGAACCAAATGCTTTTGGCCACTTTGGAAAAATAGTGTGGCAGTCCCTCCAAAGACTGAACACAGAATTACCATATAACTCAGCAATTTGACTTCTGGGTATGCACTCAGGAGAAATGAAAACGCGCATCTGTGTAAACCCTGGTACCTGGATGGTCACAATAGCGTTACTTTGTAAAAGCCAAGAAGCAGAAGCAACTCCAATGGGCGTTAACTGATGGATAGGGTAAACAAGACTTGGTACACACCCATACACGGACGGCTATTTGGCAGTACGTAGGAATGAAAGACTAATTCATACTAGGGTGTGGATGAACCTTATACACAGGATGCTGAGTGAGAGAAGCCAGTCACAAAGGACCGCACACTGCATGATTCTATTGATTAGACATGTCCAGAGATAAAAAGTAGTTACGTTAGCAGTTGTCAGGGGCTGGTCGGGAGAGGGAATGGGAAGCAATTGCTAAGGGGGCTGGGCTTATTCTGAGGCTGATAGAAATGTTCTGGAATAAGACAATGGTGCTGTTTGCACAGCTCTGAAGACAAGAACCACCACTGAAGAGTAGACCTTAAAAGTGAATGTGACCTGTAAATATGGGATGAGAAAAAGGCTGGAAAAGACCTTTACTTACAAAGAAAAAAAAGAACAAAATTGGGGGGCAGCTAAAAACCCACCTAAATACAACTGCTAAATCCACAAATCCAGCTGCTATGTCTGCCTCTTGGCTCCAAGCCCACCTCTTTCCCTCTCTTCACTGAAGGTGAGACCCTGTTTCTGGATATGGTGCGAAAATAAGAGAGTAAGTTGCGATTTTTCTAACAGCGAAAGCTTATACAGTGGGTGGGTCAAGTACTTATTTCACTCACATTTTATCCTTTCCATTTCCACGAACCAAAAATTTTGAATGGTTCTAGTTTTGTCCCAGTAATTTAATCTCTAAGGATTTATCTCAAGAAGGAATAGAAGGTACACTCCGTAAAACTCAGAAAAAGCTTACTGGCATGGCATTCGGCGAATCGTGATTCGTCCACAGGAAGGAATCCTGGGCGCTGAACTCGGGTTTGGAAATGTGTTTAATATCCCAGAAAATCATGGAAGAGCCGAAGTGGGAAGCGTCATTACATTCCCGTTGTCATAAAAATGGACATAAAGAAGGCTCAGTGGAGATAAAAAAGACCCAACAGACATACACAAAAATATTAAGTGTAGTGTGTCTGGGGATGGGGAAGTAGATATACCGATTTTCCTTGTTAAAGCTTTTACTCAATTAAACTGTTGTTGTATTTTGTATTTAAAAAATAAAAAGCTCTTTTTAAAGACAAAGAAAAAAAGAAGAGTTACCCAGCATGCACACATATTATGGATTTCAGGGTGATGTTGCTGGAGCCAGAACAGTCATGTTTCATGCCCGGGGCGGCTGCAGAGGGTGGGAGGAACCAGCCCCAGGGGGGCCCCTCAAAGACCGGCAGGTGCTGGGCTCCTGCCACCCCAGCTGGGCAAATGGGTGCAGGGAAGCAAAGAGGAGCCAGGCAATGTCCCCCAGCTCTGGGGCCCAGGCTTCAGGCTTTCCAAGGAGTGAAACAGCTTTACTCACACGCACACCCACACTGTGTGCTGCCACACACCAACATCAGCCCGCCCTGCAGAAGGGCACACACTGCTTTCTGGTGGAGCTCCACATGGACTCGAGTTCCCTCCAAAAGAGCAGGACTGGGGGCCCTGGCACATGCTCTTAGGGTCCATGCAGGAGGCCAGCACGTACTGGTGCCCGAGGGTTTGCTCAGCTGTCCAAGGCTTATCCAGAAGCAACCCTTGTCAGGTTCCTCCTGGGCTCCTGCAGAAGGGACGGGACACTGCCGCCCGCCCCACCCAGCTGACACAGGGCCAGGGATGGGGCTGCACGGAGAAGGCATCGTTTTCCTGAGCGTCTCATTTTCTGATCGTGTGCTGACTTCAGCGATGTGTCACTCACCTGTCCCCTATTCCCATTAATGGCGAAGCCCTGGCTGCACCTGGGAAGTACTGTCTGCAGAACTGGGAGCTGAATCCCGTTAATGCCTGGTGGGCACAAACTGCTTTGATGACAGGTACACCCCAGCCCATCCCAGAGCGCAGGGGACACACACACTCTTCAGAGGCTGCCTTGCAGATGCCACTCAAAGTCACACCAGCTCTGCTTGTCAAGACAAGGGGGTTGACAGCATCTACTTGTGACAGGCCTGACACGCAGACTTTGAATGTCTTATTTTGAAGCAATTTTAACCTAAGTTAAATGCAGCTTGTCAAATTCAACTTCAAGTCAGGAGCCCGGGCTGGGGCCGGAGCTGAGAGGTGAGGATGGCAGTCTGACTGGCAGGCAAGGAGGAGGGGACACAGGTGACAGGGAAGGGGGCCTGAGCTCCCAGACAGGGCTCCAGGGCCGAACCCACTCTGCTGCAAGTGCAGGGGCCCTGAGATCGGATGCACCAAGAACTTGCTGGGGGAGTAGAGAAGGGGGGGCTCCAGCATCAATCCCCAGCCATTGGCTTGTTTGGGGAAGACCCACCGAGTCCTCGGGGTGGAGGGACAAGTCCCGTCGCAGCAGGATTTGGGTCTTCATGGGGACACAGGATGCCCCTTTAAAGCTGAGTATGCCCTTGACCTCCCCTAGCCCACTAGATGAACATGCTGGACTGGGCCTCCGTGATAAAAGCCAAATGAAATGACCCCAGCCGAATGAAGAGTTCTTGGGAGCCCTCTCTAAGACAGAGTACGAAACGATGGTAGGAAACTGTGAAGGGGTCTCCCAGGCAGAGGACGCTCGGTGGCTTCATCGACCATGGAAGGCTGGCATGGGTCAGGGGGGTGGGGGGGGCACCCAATCTCCGTTTGCAGCAGCGCAGCTTTGGTCTGCTCCGCTGTTCAACACTTCCTGTTTCATTTGGGCCTCTAGTAGGAAGATAAACTTTTCACCTACAAACTGGTTCCAGACCTGAGTCCACATTCCCATCCTTCGCAGTGCATGGCTATGTTCGGACGGGTGACGCCAGGGGAGGAGCCCGCAGTTTCAGGGGCCAGGAACCCGAGACCCCCCTTCACGGGCAAGTGCCTGGAATCCCTGGGAAGCCGTCTTCCTTGAATGTCACCCTCGGCATGCCCGTCGTGGCTTCGTGAAGAGACCTCACCACTGTCCCCAAAGAGCATCCACAAGTTAAGATCTTGTTTTCAGAGGAAATCAGTCATCAGCTTTTCAAAGGGCTCGCTGATCACCACTCAAGGCTCAAAGGGGAGAAACTGAAGAACAAAACTGCTGCGTCCTTTCTTCCCTCTTACACATCAGACCGCACGGGGACTCCAGTCCCAGAAAGGCTGGACCGAGGGGTGTCCTGGCTACTCCACCGGTTCCATTAGATGCCTTTCCACACGTGCACACTGAAAGGCGCTAAGGAAGCGAACAGAAAAAACCTTTGCAAATCACATCCCTGACACTGGATCCGATTATACACAGTGACTCTCCAAACAGTAAGAAAAGCCCATGGTAAAAATGAGGCAAGACTCCCACAGCAAGGGGGAGATACGGGTGGCGGAGTGAGAGAAAAGATGCTCCACAGTGCAAGCCACTAGGGAAACGCACATCACAGCCACGATGAGTCCTTGGGGCGGCAGGGAGACGCCACGGGCGGGGTCGCTGTGGGGAGGACGCGGGGCACTGGACCCTCGAGGGCTGCTGAGCAAAGGCAGGCACCCCGGGAAACGGGGGGCGCCTTCCCGCCAAGTCAGCAACCCCTCACTATCCGCACCGGCGATCCCACTCAGATGTTGATTTATCAGGTGAAAGGAAAAGGCATGTTCACATGAAAACTTGTTTAAGTAAATATTTACAGTGGCTTTTTTTCCCTATAATCTCCAGAACCTGGGAATGACCCCAAAGGTCCTCAGCTGGGGGATGGGGACCCTGTGACACAGTCACAGTACACCTGTCAGCATCTTAGTAAAATGAAACAAAACACACTAGGGCACAGGGGACAAACACCAGGCCTGCAGGCCAAACCAGCCCTCTACCTGGTTTTACCTGGTCCGGCACCTTGTTACTACCCGGCAGCAGCGCGGAGCTCTCACTTAACTGCTAAGGAGTCGTTACATGTACACAGTCCTAAAATGACACTCATCCCTTTGAAGGGAACCACGAGGCAAAAGGGAACCTCTGGCCTCTGGAGAAAATTACTTTGACACCTCTGCACTAGATCAAAGTTGACCTTACAGCGATGTGAAGTAACCGTGGCAACCACGCTGGAATAGTTATTGCCATTAAAGGCACTTTCTTGAAAAATAACCAAATAAAACTTAAAATAAAAAAATAATAATAAAATAAAATAAGTCACTTTCTTCCTCCAAAAGCAGTGAAATGAGAAAAAAACCCGTATTCATGTTCTAAGGCAAGAGCAAGACGGAGAACATACAAACTGGTTCCTAAGGAGTGACCCCCCCCCCCCCACGCAGGCGCGTTTACAAACACCGTGGGAAGCCTCCGCCATCCGCAGGCTTCTCCTCTGGCTCCGCGCCCAGGCTTCCAAGACCGGCTCTGCCCGCCCAGCAGGACGCACCCGCCACGGTGCACACTCCACAGGCACCCCACCAGGCCTGGCGCAGGCAGGTTTATAAAGTTGCACAAAACTAGAAGTAGCGGGCAAATAGACCAAGCCAGTGCTTTATTTTAAAAAGTTTTATTCTGCAGATTTAGAAATTTGAGGATTTTTTTTTAATAACCGCAAAAGAAATTCAGTCACACCTAATGATTAACAGAATGTAGTGGTGTATTATCCAATCAGAAGTCGTGCTGATGTGCCATAATAAATTGTCTATTAGTAAAAAAATACACTTTAGGGCACAGCATTGTATCACAAATTACAGTAGGGATATTTTGCAAGAATTTAATCAAACTAGAGAATTCTGAGTAACTTTATCTTTTAAATGCAGCACTTAAAAATGTAACAACTCTGTGCATTCTTTTTCTTTAAAAAAATGACCTTGTGTGTGTCATAAAAATGCTGCGTTATTGCTGCAGAGGTCAAAGTTCAAGGCTCAAGAGGTACAGGAGAGAGTACAAAGGTAGCCTTAAGAAACTTGGTTTTGTTTATGTATAAAAAAGGTAAAGTTTATAAAAGTTAATTTACAAACCAAGAACAAAAGTGGTATGCACGCATTATGTACAAGCATCCTTAAAACATCAAAATTTTCAAATGCGTAGCCAAAAAAACAAAACAACTGCCGTTGCCAAAAAAGAAAAAAAAACCAAGAAAGGAAAAAACAATTATCTAAATCACACCATTATTTCCATCTAGGTGATCACACATTTCTGAAACCACCAACTCCACAATTTACTCAACCTGGTTCATGATTCAGTATCTGGATGCGCACAAAAGCCATAAAAATTTAGCGATACACAGAACAACCTAAGAATTAAAAACAGGAGGGTAAGGCATTCCTGCTGGTTAGTATGTCTGGTGACACGGTTAATTTATGGAGAGAGCCAGAGAGGCCACAGAGCCAGTCCCACGCTTTGGTGTCCTTCCCCAGGAAAAATGCGTTTTCACATACAATCAGTAATTGTCTTCACTCGACACCCCCCCACCCCACAGCTGTAAATTCCCCTTGCTGTACATTTCTGTTAAACCCACGACTCTGGTTATATACTCCAGGTGCATGTTTAAATGTGTGCATACTGCCTCATGCATAATGACAAAGTGGATGCCAGGCCAGGGCCACGACAGAGTGGAAGCAGTGTACTTTGGAGAGAACAGGACTCAAATGCACCCCCTTCACTGGCTGGTACTTTAACGGAAATCAATTACGTGAAGTTAAGCAGTGACCATAAAAAAAGTACAATAATAATTACGAAGCAAAATGTCTTTGAACCTCGCGCCAACACCAACAGTCCTTCCGCCAAACACGCAGGTCGCAGCACACGCCTGCCCACGGCTCAGCAGCGCGCCCTCCGCTTCATCAGTTCGAACAAAACGCTTACTGCCAACACACTGCAGGTCGAGTCTAAGGAGAGTAGAACACTTGATAGGGTGGGTCCGTGGAGATTCAGTCAGTTCACCCCAGGTTCACATGATTGAGTCATGTTCCTACAGATTAGGAATTAAAAGTGGTCGATCAGGACAGAAACGCAGTTTGCTCCAACAAGGTAATTGGGGTCTCCAGGAAGACACTTGTTTTGCCAGGTTTTAGGGTCACCTATAAGAGAAAAAGAAGTTCATGTCATTTACAGTTGCTGGCTACAATGCTTTGTAACCATAAGGCAAAGATAAATACACACATTTAGATACAATTTTCTCCTGCTTCTTTATCATTTTGCAGTTACACCCCAGTTCTACATGCTAGATGACTAGAATTAGTGGGGCGCTCACCTGGTAAGGCATAGAAATATTGGATCACTACGCTGTGACCTGAAACTGCTTATAACTAATATAATATTGTATACGACTTGACTTTAAAAAGGTAACTCCTAAGTACTATATGTCTGTGAGAACCCATTGGAATCTTAAAAATTCAAAACTTTCAGATTTCTCTTTCAGTGCATTTTCACGCTCATGCTTTTTCAAAAGACCATGAAAATGTAGGCTCCACGTGCCGGGGACGATTTCAGTTTGCCCGAGCCCACCTTATCATTGAAAGAATTCTTCTTTCACTTTCCAAAGTTTGGACAATAATTTACATGATCACTCATTTCAGCTGAGTGTGAGAACACATTTCTCATACTCAACTACAGACCAACAAATGAAAGAACTTCCTCTTTCAAAAAAATCAGTAATCCGGTCGATCCTGGAGCCAAACCCTGTATGGAGCAGCGTGGCCAAGGCCGACTCTGTGAGCCTGCGGCAGGGCCTGGGTGCTGGTGGTGCCGGCGGTCTGACACTCGCGGCTGGAGCTCAGAGCCCCAGGGGGGGACACTGCCTGGGACAAGGCCGGGATGGCTGTGTGTCGCTGGTTTCCAAGGTTAAGTGACTTCCAAATCAGCTTACTACTTCTGCTTCTCTAACAGCATCAGCTCTCAACTTCTTCTGCTTCCCTAACAGCATCAGCTCTCAACCAGGAGGTCGGGACAACGGCTGGAGGTGATTCGGCTGGTCACAGCTGGCAGCCAGTGAGGCCACTATACATTGCACGATGCATAGGGACAGTCCCAGAACAAAGAATTCTCTGGCCAAAATGTCAACAGGGCCAAGGATGGGAAACCTGCCCCCAGGAGGCGGCCCACTGCCCGAGTGACACCTGAGTCACGTCTGGCTCAGCAGGAAACCAGAGTTTGGAGGGAGCCCACTTCTCAGATCTATGTAGGCTCTCACAGCACCACAGGTAACACACTCTTCAGGCAGTGAGCTGGAGTTATAACCCTTCGGAAGTAAATTAAAAACCTTATCTTTAGTCTCAGGTTTTCTAGTAGCCTAATTTGTACTGGGATTAAGTTAGTGGTTATCAAAATCTACCCTTGACTTCTGGAACAGAATTTAGAGTAGCAAACTATGCTACAGCCCTATGGCGTTTCATTGGCGTTTCATAAAGGTACACTCCTCTTCTAGGAGAAGCCGCTCAGATTCGAAACAGTATCTTCCTGCGTTAATCTAATAAAGTAACATGTTTTGTGACACAAAACACCAGAGTAACAAATGGAGGAATCACTTATGCTTTACATAATAGCTAAAAAAAATTCACTTACGAATAAGCAGCTACCACAGACAGTGATCTGAAGAACCCTCCCCTAATTTGTCTTAGAGGACAATCAGACCTCATGCTACAGCCCAACTTTCAGAATACATTTTAAAAGCCACTATATTAACTCATTAATTCAAACTGATAAACTGTTTCTCAGTGGCATCCCTCAGGAAATTGCTTTACTATGAAGTGTGTTAGAATTAATTAACTTTTCCCAGAAAATGGGGTTAACTTGGGAAATACTTACATAATTTTTTTGTCTTGTGTAGTATTAAAATGTTCTTCTGTAACCTTTACACTATACAACCCTATTTCCCAGTGCCCAATGCTAACACCCCATAATGCTCACCTGATTTACCAAAAATTTAAAAGCAGGTTTGTAAATTCTTATTTTTCTACATCAGGTTCAATTAAAGTGATCTATGCCAGAAACACAGGAAGTTCCAACTGGTAACTGACACAGTCACCCAAAGGAAGTGGGAAATGTGAAAACGCTACAGAAGCTTTGAAATTGTGATCCGAAAAACAAAAGCCAAGTGGAAACAGTGTGGACAATAGAAGTGATTTAGAATTTTGCATTGGAAAACCAGGGCCAAGCGCAAGCTCAGTGGAAGGCCTTCTGTCTTTCAAGCTGCCCTGGGACAGACAGACTTTGCAGGTTGAAAAATTAAAGAATAGTAACCAATAGCAGAAATGAATCAAATCATTTTAGCAAGAAAGTGAAAATGCCTATTTATGTAGGGCAGTATCAATTCTCTCATTGCATCACAATTGTGACATTAGAAATGCGTGTGTCACCCTTCGGCCACATCCACAAGTGTGAAAGGCAGAAATGCCCCCTTCCCTATCCATTCACTGCTCGTGTACACGCAGCACAGAGGGGTCCGCATACCGCGATGCCCACGAGGCCACAAGGACAGAGGCAGAGGGTTGCTCCCCGCACAGGAGCTCCATCAGCCCAGGGACTAATCAACGACAGCACCCAGAGCCCCCAAAGGACAGAGTGAAGACAGCATACCCGACGAGGAGTCGGATGATTTTAGAGCAAAAGACCAACCGTCAGGAGTCATGGACGCACAGTGTGGTAGGCGCAGCTCCACAGGCTTCAGGAACTTGAGGCCGTGGGGCCCACACATCACCAGCGGGCTCAGCAGGGTCTCACCTGGAAGCAGGGAGGGGAGGGGGCAGAGTTACATGCCGTCTTCCTTCCGCACCACTTTTCCTAGGGCAGCACTGACGCAGAAAAACGGAACGGAAGCCACATGTGTGGTGTTACATTTCCTCGCAGACACTTTAACCCACTGTATCCCCAGATCACTCCGACGAGCCATCAGCACCCTGCGTCTGTGAGAACGGGTCTGGGGCACTCCTAGCACACTTTACTTCGCAATGGCCACAGAGCTGGGGTCACCTGCATGAGATCACAGGTTCTGACAGTGTAAGTCACCGTCAGGCACACTTCTTACACGTTACTCACATCTCCTGTTTCTGAAGCTACAGACCTGGTTTACAGGGCTCGCCTAGGGACAACATACGTTAGCATTCCAGCAAAATGTGAGCAGTGAGCTGAAGACAGGAAAGCGCTGCTCGCAGGTTCTAAAGGAAGCCACGGCATGGGCCACCGTGTCACCCTGCCAGATGCGGGCGGACAGGGAAACGCCAGCAGCCCCAGGTTCCACAAGAAGCTCCAAAACACGGGCGGAGGGCTGTAGGGTAGGGCCAGGGAACTCACCTCCACCGCCGCGGCCTTCCTGCGGGGACCCCCACCAGGTGACCGTGCCACCATCAGGCACCCCCCCCCATAGTGCTTTGTGTGGCCGGCAGCAGGCAGGCAGGCAGGCAGGCAGGCAGGCAGAAACGGGGTCTGGATGATCCTCCTGGCGGAGCCTGACCAGGGCTCACGGGCCACCCACCCCTCAAGAAGGGGGCAGAGACACAGACTCGTTACCTTTCTCCTTATCTAGAGGTGGCAGGATGCTGTTGTCCCGGCAGACCTTGAAGTAGATTTCCTGCTCCACGCCCTCCGGGATGGCCCCCTGCGGGATGATTATGCTAACACCAGTCTCTATGGAGCTCAGCACCCCGCCGTTGCTGTTGAACACGCCTCGGGCTGTGGCCACCACCGTGTGACCGTCCTCGTCGTCCTCCTCCTCCACCGCTGAAGGACTAAGGGTTCAGAAATGCCCCGTGAGCGGACTCCCAGCTCGACGCAGGCGCGTCACGACTGCTGTAATTGTTGGCGCCACTTTATTTTCCTTTCTCCCCCTGATCACCAAGTTATTGGAGCCTTGCCGCCACCTCAACGTACAGAGCCCGAACCTTGCTCACCCAAGTGCTACAGTTCATGGGCATTAAGCAGCACATTTTAACATCCACACAATCGGTGTCTGAAAAGTGCCAGCAAGTCACAGTTCCTTCTTAGTATCACATGAGAAAATGGCACACCTCACAGCAGACAGCACCACAGGCCTCTCATAAAACGTGCTCATTAGGTAACTACCTCCCTGGGACTCGATGTGTGCACACCGTGGCCTCCCCCTGGCACCCGAGGCCCACATGCCCTTGCCGACAAAGGCACAGTCACTACAGTTGCTTGAGGTGACAAAGATCAAGCACCCACAGAAAGCAGGACATTAACGAAGAAAACCAAGGGCAGGCGGGATATGGTGTCATGGGCACTTCGGAAATGGAGGCTTTTGAGATTCACTGAAGTGAAACTGTGAGCCAGGACCTAATGGGGAGCAGAAGGTGGACGGACAAGATGGAGGTACACACAGGCAGGGCAACTCCACTCCCGCACTACTGGGGCATCAGGGACGGGCGACCACACCAGAGGGAGCACTTGCCCCCAGCCCCCTCCCCAGAGGGCAGCAGCCCTGCCTGGGGAGCAGGCCTGGGGCCTCCTGGCCTTGGGTCCTGCCTGCGAGTGCCTCTGCTCGGTCATTGGGTCTGGGGCTGCGGTGAGCTCCCGTGTGGCCGGCTGGGCCTAGTCCACACCACGGACGACGGCACAGAGGCAGGTTGCAGAGTGGGGCTCCTCACAGGGACCCCCCTTCATCCGCTGAGACAACCAACTCCCTGAAACTCTAAAACAGGTGCTGTTGCTTAACAACCACTTTGAGCTTACTGCACCTTTGTTTCTCTTTAACATCAGTGCTGAACACACAGCGGATGAGGAGCAGACGCTTGTTTTGGGGGTCAGAGGTCATGGGAAGCCACGGGTGTTAAGAGTATGGCCTGGGGTCAGAGGACCAGGGCCTGGATCTAGGCTCCCCACACCGTGGCTGTGTGACCCTGGGCAAACTGCAATGTCATTCAATCTGACTGCTTGGTAAAACAGGGCTCGTAACGATACCCGCTGACCACGCAGGGCTCTCAGGTTCATGACCCTACTGGCATCGTCCTGGACCTCTCACAGCACCCTCTACGCGTGGGCATTTGTGGCAACATTGTGGTCAACGGTGTTCGGTTTAAAGTCTGAGTAAAAGCTGAGTTAAAGTCAAGTCCCCAATCAGAGAAACCACGTCAAACTCACGTCAGAAAAATCACAAAGCTCAGAGCAAGGCAAAACCCTCACCTGACAGGAACAGCCTTCGGCCCTGAGCTGACGTTGTTTATCTGATACTTCGGCTTGTCTGCGTGGAGGGAGAAGGCCTCGACTCCGCTGTCGAACTCAGGGGGCGGTGCGGAACTGTGCGTTTTCACAAGGATTTTTGGAGAAGTGGGGACTTTTGAAGACAAGTCGGGCTTGTGTGCAGTCTCACTGGGCAGAAGGTTGTGACTGAACTTAGGGCTTTCAAACTTGCGCTCAAACGGCCGCGCGGAACTTGTGTACGGTTTGGGGGTGAATCGGTTGTATGTTGGGGCGACTGTTTTCTGAGTCTGTTCAGTTCCATTCACTGGGGCTTTCTCTGGGAAACTTTTCTGGGGGTAGAAAGTGGACTGAGTGGGGTCGTCTCGGTTTGGTGGTCTGAACATTGCTGGCTTGTTCTGAGATGGAGGTGGGTCTGGTTTGGACACTAAAGAATTCTGAAAATCCAATGACACTAAATTACCTGGGAAGAAAAAAGAATAGATAAGCCTTTTGAACACTTCTTAAAAGGAGGTCTTACAGCCCCTCTGACATGTCCCATCTGAACCTGGCCTGGTGCAGAAGTCAAGGCCTAGTTCAGGGTCCCCGCAGTCAGAAGATACTTCGTGAGCACCGGTGGCTGTGTGTGAAGCTGAGAGCCCGGCAGGTGGCTGGGACACATGGTGCTGTTAGTGTACCCCGCTGCCTGGGAAGCAGGGCCATGTTGCTAAGGGTCCTGGCCCCTCCCTAATGTCCACAACAAATTAGGAGCAGAATGAAAAATATGGCTATGTTAAAAAAATCAGTACTGAAAACTCACCATAATTACAGTCACAAGAAAAGCCACAGTTTTGAGAGAAAATACTAACGACAACATATAATGGATAAAGAATTAAGACCCCAAACCCATGGAGACTACCTAACACATCCCTAAGAAAGACACAGCCTAACAGGAAGATGGGCGAAGCCATGAAGGGGAGTGAAAACTGGAATGCCCAGTAATCATGTAACAAGACCCTCACCCTCACTAGGAATTAGGAAAATGCAAGCCCCAAACAAAAAAAACATGAAAAACCGTTTCACACCCTTTAGATTAGCAAAACTTAAGTCTGGTAGTGGCCAGGGTTAGCAAGATGCAGAACAGCAAGAATTTCCACGTCCTGGGTGGGAGTGTAAAACAGTCCCAACTGGATTGCAGGAAATAATTAAGGAGAAAATACTACCCTTTTCTCCAAGGAGAAAAGAGCGAAAGAGGGAACATGCCCTTGCTCTCTCATGAACCAGCACAACCTTGATACTGAAACCAGGCAAGGACATTGCAAGAAAATTACAAACCCAAATTCCTTAGGAACATTACAATGTAATTTACTCCATTAACACAATGAAGGAGAAGTCTTATGAGCCTCTTATTATATGCAGAAAAAGCATTTCACAAAACCATTTCAGCATATTAGGACTAGAAGGGAATGTCCTAAACCAAGTAAGAAGGAAGCTATGAAAAACTACAAATAAACCTACGGCCAACACCATAAAAGTGAAACGATGAATCCTTTCTCCCCGAGATGAGGAAGCAGCAGAAATGTCTGCTTTTATTACTTCTACTCGACATTTCAGTGGAGGTCCCAGCCCATGCAAATGGGCAAAAGTAAATACATCAATAAAAGGTGTAAGCACTGGGAAGAACTGAAACTTCGCCTGCAGAGATGACAGTGTGTAAAGAAACCCTAACAGGAAATTATGTAAAGCTGCAACTACAGCTTATCTGGTTGACACTCAGTCTGGAATCCAACTCCCACATAAACAGAAGTACCGTTGGTTTCGTGGTAGCGCACTGTCAACAGAAGGATGAAATTGTGATGTATTCTGGGGTAAAATATAGCTTATTTATTTTGAGGGGGATTGTGAGGGGAAAGCAGCAAATAAGAACAGGGGTGTCAGGAGATGGAGGGAACAGTTTTCATTTCCAGGGGTGTGCGGAAAGGCAGAGAGACAAGAAGGCAGTTCCGAGAGGCAGCAGGGTCAGAACAAGGGGTTACCAATGGAACAGGCGGCCTGCGAGTGTCTGAAGCAGAGGGCCGAGTTCTGTGGAAGGGGGAAACTGGTGAAAGAAACCGAAGGAAGGATGAAGGGAACAGGAGGGAGGAAGAGCGGCCAAGCCCCTGGCCCAGCAGGAGCGTCAGCAGGAACCAGGGAGACAGCCAGGGCTCAGAGAAAGATGTGAAGGAGAGTGCGCGGGCCAACAGGCAGCAGCACCACGGCTGTTAAGATGAACACCCTGGAGCTCTGTTCTCCACCCTGCTGAGAATCTTCTATGGAACATAAATGCAAAAGGCAAGGTGCAAAGGGATACATATTACATGAAACTTTACATCTTGCCTGTCACGTGTGAACAAGAAACAGACAGTAACTTTTACCACACCATTCAAATATTTAGATCAGACACTGGTAAATAAACATGACTTCCAGAAACCAAGCTATGCTAATAAAAGAGTATAATCTATTTGGCAAAAGGCTTGTCCAATATAATGCTCAGGGTCATAAATGTAGGTGATATATTATTTTTTAGCAAATTCCTTAGTTTTTATTGTTCCCAGCCTAAAGGTTTTATGTATTATGTCTGATATGAAAAACCATTTTGCTTAGAAATGACAAGAACTTAAGTTTGTCAGTACTACTCCATGACTGAGGTGACACCAACCTCCGAGGGCCCTACCTTCCCCGTGGGCTCCCTTAGCGTGTGTGTGCAGCAGGGAGCTGGCGGTGGGTGGGGCAGGCTGGGAGTACTGCACGGGCAGTGGAGGCGGCGGGGGTGTGGCCTGGCCTGGGTCGTAGCGTTTCTCTCCAAAAGGTCGATCCGTGGCATCCACCTCGGTAGACTTGACCCTGCGAAAAAAGGAAGACAAGGCCAACCACTGAAAACGACTCCCACTGACAAAACAAGTTCTCGCTCTCTAAGTTTTTTTTAATTCAGAAATTTCACAATTTAGTCTTATTATATGGGTAGCTACTCTACCAAACTAGGCAAACAAACTCAACCATTCATCAACACGAGAGATGTAGAGACAGCACAGGTACTTTGAGAATATCAGGAAAACATCCAGAGAATGGCAACCGAAAGGCAGATGAAATTCTGGGTATACTTGTTAGAGTTAACTGTGTCGTTCACAATTTAAAAAGGTCTTGCAAATATTTTGGAAAATACTTATACGCCCAAATGGTCCTTAGGTTCACCACTTATTTCGTCTTTAAGGTGCCAAGACGTGGCTCCTGGCACCCTCAGAGCACCAGACGGGATGTCGGGCAGGGTCGGCCAGGGCTCCTAGTACAGGGCTGGAGCGTGAACGGTTGTGGCTCTTTGGGCCATCAGGCCTCAGCCACAGCTACTGAAACTGCCTGAGAGCAGCCAGGGACCATGTGGAAACGAAGGAGCGTGGCTGTCAGGACCACCAAAGAAGGGACAGCTTCTACTTCACAGCGTGCCCTGGGTGCGCCAGGCCCGTTCTCTGTTAACGACAGCTAGGGGAGCAGAGATGCTGCACTGTTCAAGGCTTACTGAAGTCCAACTGGGCCATGCACATCTATTTTCTCAGGTTGCCAATTGTTCATATGAGACGTAAAGTGCACACACAGGAAACTGTGGAAATAGACCCACAATTGCAACACTGCCATCTAGTCCTTTGCAGAGAGCCAGGCCGCAGTGGCTTTATGTGCACGAACGGTGACATGGACATGTTGAAGGGCCTTGCACAGGAGACCTTCGCTGAGGAAGTCTGGCTCTATCGTGAGCTTTGACACTGAGCTGTTAGCTCACTCCCACAACCAGACCGAGCACTTGACGACGACGTTCCAATCCGCAAGTGCACATAATGCCAACGACACGGCGAGGGACACCTCACGTAACAGCCTCACATGAATGCCGGTCTTACCACTTGATGCTCCTTCTCAAGCAGTCATAGCTAGTGTAAGAGCCAAGAAATCTAGGCGACGGCAAAGAGAGCGCAACAGAAAAATGAAAGAAAATGGTCACTCTAACTAAGAAATTTGCAGCAAATGCAACTCAAATGTCATTTCAAAATATCAACCAAAAGACAGGCACCCACCATTTCAAAATAACTTGATCCACGGAAGAAACCATCCTTACCTCCATTTAGCTAGGGAAAGGACCAGTAAATTCAACCACAGTAACTTGGGTCCTGCCCCCCCCCCCCTGCACCTTGTGGTCTAACTGGTGTTCTGAGTACTGCCCCTCTCTGCCCACTGCTGCTGCAGCTGCCAGTGCGGACCAAGGAATGAACCCAGTAAAGGAGCAGTACTCAGGATAACTGGCCGGTTCTGAGTGAGACTGAGATGCTCCTTTAAAAGTAAAAAGCTGCCCTGGCTGGTGTGGCTCTGTGGACTGAGCGCTGGCCTGTGAACCAATAGGTCAGTGGTTCAATTCCCAGTCAGGGCACATGCCTGGGTTGTGGGCCAGGTCCCTGGTGGGGGAAGGGGGGCGTGTGAGAGAGGCAATTGATCAATGTATCTTTCACACATTGATGTTTCTCTCCCTGTCTTCTCCATCCCTCCCCCTCTGTAAAAATTTAAAAAAAAAAAAATTTTTTTTTGAATTAAGGGCTGGGGAAAAGAGATCCTTGAGTGAAAACGAAGAAGCGATAGGTGCGCAGACGCCCTAGCAGGGAAAGGAGAAACGGGCAATGGGAATGTGCACCCCTGAAACGCACCCCAGTTCCCACGTACATGTTCCTGTCCCGCAGACCGGACCCATCGCCAGTTCTCAGGGCAGGTGCAGCCTATCTGCAAAGCTGCCACACTTGAATGTCACAGTTCCTCTCATCTAGTGTCACACACACACAAATAACCCTACGGTAATCCTGTATTTGGTTCCTAAAAAGCTGAAAACCACCAATGTTTGTTTCAAGACCTGGAAGTCCCACAGCAACCTGACTCTTGAGAGAGAGGGGTCCAAGCATGAGAACCCCCCGCTGCCCGGGAGGAGCGGACACCATCTCTGGGCCGGCGCGTGCACCCAGGCCCAGCCCTGACTCCAGGGCCCTGACCTGCTGCTCTGAGACGCTCTCTCCCGGCGTCTCGCTTCCAGCCTAGCTCTCCACATGGTAAGGCAGGGTGGTGTCTGCCGGCTTTCTGGGGCGCCTGTCCTGTGCCAGCGGAGACTTCTCCCCTCTCTAGTTCCCACCACTGGGGGTGTGCTTTTCTTTTAAGACGAATGTAAGCACATATTATCCAGGAGAAGATAACTTTGCTATTTTGTTTAGGAAATAAAGGCCTGTAGGCAAGCTGTTGGTAACAGTAAATAGTTTTGAGATGCAGGACAAAGGCAATCCCATGTTTTAAACCATTTTCCTACTGTTCAAGTTGTATTAATTGGCCAGAAGAGCAGCAGCGAAAGCAGAGAAACTGCCTGTGTCCCTCACTCTGCTCTCCCATTCTCCTCGCAGTTGAACGCTGACGCGGAAGCGCACAGCACTGCTAAGAAGAAGGAAGCGCATACTAGCGCCCATCTCATTCCACTCTCTCTTTGTCCTGGAAGCCTCTGCCCTGCTGGTGCCGGCCCCCAGCACCGTGCTGGCGAGCAGCTAGTGGGTGGCTGACAATACTAGGGCACCTGCACCGAGCTCTGTTCACTTGGCGAACTTTCCCTGAGCCCGCAGCCCCCAAACCTGTGAGAAAATTTCCCATTATAAACACTCTGAGTCTTCTTTCTGGAACACCAGATGAATACACAGCCAAAAATGCCTTGCTAACTGATTTTCTGGCAAACTTTGTTAGACCTAAATGTATTTTTAATGTTATATTATATTTAACAAGTAAAAAGATAGATAAAACCTCTCTCCTTAAACCCCACTCCCCAGATCCTCTTATGACAGGAATGAATGTGTTTAATGACTTAAGCCGAAACAGTGACAAAAGGCACACCCCCTACCTTACCAAAGGGAGCTCCGGAGGCTCAGGGCTGAGCCCGCCGCAGTCTGCACATCCAGGAGGCATGGGCATTACTCTAGCGTGGTGTGAGGGGAGGCTCACACCACCAGCCCGAGCCCCTGTTTGCACAGAGCAGAACCCCAGCACCCTACGGCTGTGTGTGCGTTGTCATTAACTGCTCTCTCTGTGGACAAGGATTTAAAAAGATGACCATGCAAAAAAGGTTTTAAATCCTCACTTCAAAAGATGTCTCAGGAAAAAGGAGCTGGTGATGGCTTTCTGATATGTCCCCTTGGCTCCGATGAACTACAGTCACGGTTGTTCAAACACTAATGCAGAAGCCACCAGAAAGGGAATTTTCAGACATAAGGTCTCGAATTAGTTGAGTTTTAAGTTAAAGAGATAGGCTCTTATTTAAAGGGGAACTCAGGCTTCCCGGGGCTCAGATGCTGATCCCCTCCTCCAGCCCCAGGGACTGTCCCCTCACTGCACACTCATACCTTGTCTGAAAGTCATGTCCGTTCTCCATTCTCAGGGGCTGCTTTTTGTGGATGCATGAAGCCACCAGTGCCTCTGAGGGTCACCCCCCCACTCTCAGCACCAAGCTCTCTGTCGCTCGGGGCTCAACCAGGGAGACAGAAGCAGCAGAGACAGGGCCCACACAGGCGCACATATGTCTGTGCCCCAACCAAATCCACAAGGATGAACAACCGACCGGAAACCCGAGAAATGAGTAACGGAAGTGAGCAGTGCAGCAAAGGAGAAAGACTGGGAGTCAAAAACGGGGGGTTCAATGCCAGCTCTGTGCATCGTCATGTTACCTCACAGAGCTCAGTTTCCTTGTGTATAAAACTGGGAAAGAGATCTCTAAAGTGCCAAGATCCAATAATAAAAAAAGACCAGCTGTTTCTCTCCTTCAAAAAATTCACCTCTCGCCCTGGCTGGTGTAGCTCAGTGGATTGAGCGCGGGCCTGCGAACCACACAATCGCGGTTCGATTCCCAGTCAGGGCACATGCCTGGGTTGCAGGCCGGTTCCCTGCAGGCCAGTTCCCAGCAGGGGACGCACAAAAAAGGCAACCATACATTGATGTTTCTCTCCCTCTCTCCTTAACCCCCTTCCCCTCTAAAGATAAATAAATAATAAAATATTAAAAAAAAAATTTCAACTCTCTTCCCTTCCCTCCAACGTTGTCTCAATACATCTGTTTTTATACTAAAAAAAAATAAAAACACCTGGCTGGTGTAGCTCAGTGGATTGAGCACAGGCCTGCGAACCAGAGGATCATGGTTCAATTTCCAACCAGGGCACATCCCTGGGTTGCAGGCCGGTTCCCTGCAGGCCAGTTCCCAGCAGGGGATGCACAAAAGGCAACTGTACATTGATGTTTCTCTCCCTCTCTCCTTCTCCTCTAAAGATAAGTAAATAAAATATTAAAAAAAAAATAAATAAAATCATAATAAAAGACCCAGCATTAACTGGGCTGCACAGAAGGGAGAAAGACTTATGATTTACCTAAAAATCAGGGTCTTCAGTTCATTCTTTCTTGCCTCAGGTTTTATCAACTTTCCCCAATGCAAAAACTTGCTGCATCTGCTATCGGAGCCTAAGAACAAGCTCCGAACACATACTAGAGCTAGAAGTACGCACAGCGCTACCCTGCCAGAGTCTACAGAACGTGTAAAGTACACTTAAATATTTCCTTCAAAATATACTGAACTTCAAGAAATCAATTCCTCTTTACCCAAACCTTTCTGTTTGGTCATCTTGTTTTCCAGAGGGGAAGTGTCCGGTGAAGTAACTTACTTCGAAGAGTAACTGGACAGGTTTGGCTGATGCTGAGAAGGAAGCGGCTTGGCCGGCTCTGAGAGGAGGCCGGCAGGCACATGCGCAGGAGGCTTGTTCTCGAAACTTCTCCGATCAAAGTAGGAGAGCTGCTTTCGGTAATACTCCTCATCTTCCTCGGGGTCATAATGATTTGACCGAACGATATCTTCGGGGGGCTTCGGCTGAGGTTTCTGAGGTTCTGGGGTCCTGCCAAAGAACGCAAACAGAACAGCCTTCTCAGTGCTGATCTCACAAGGGAAGTGGAGTCTGAATCATTCACCTCAACCCTCCCCTGAGCTGTGACTGCTCAGGACCCAGCCAAGCAGCGCGACAACCATCAAAATGGACTCCTGAACTCTGTCTTCACATGCCGTGTGCAAAAGGCAGCCCTCCTCCAGCCCGTGAGTCCATTACCACAATCTATTAAGCTCAGCAATTGTCTGGTTAGAGGCCTCACAGCAGGCTATAAGCAGTTAATCAGAAAAAGAAGAGGAAGTGGAATCAACCCAGTGAAGAACTTCTCGAAGTACACACACGAATGGCAGCGACAAGTAACAACCAAGAGGGTCTTCCAACTTTTCAAAAAACACTTTTCAGGAACTTTCATCTGAGATCAAGGAATGATCCTCGTATAAGGACACAGCTCTATAAAGTCTGAAGTTCCAGCGGGCACAGGAAGCAGAGTGGAAGCAAGTTATTAAGCAAGCTTGTACACGGTTCCTTACATTCTGTTTAATACACCTTAGAAACGTGGCATTGAAATGCATGAACTTAACCAGGTTTTACACCAAAAAAGGGCTACAAGTGTATTTTATGCGACAAAGACTGTATGCTAATGAGACTGGCCAAAGGAGACACCACAGCAGTTCACGTTTTGGTGAGAAACACCCCCGTCGTTAAAAACAGAGGACAGTGCCTACGTGAGAGTTCCTCTTTGACACAGGCACAAATGTCAGCACGTAAACACACGAGGGAGGCGGGCGCCCATCTCCACACCCAGCCTGTCTGTCCCTTGGGAGAAGTGCGGAGGGGCCCCCAGGGAGAGTACAGCAGGCCCCTCCCCCGGCTCTGCCGTCCTGCGCACGCCCCTGCGCATGCCTCTCACTCCGGGTGGTGCTGAGCCCACAAAAGGCACAGAGCACGTGCTCGCTAAACAACAAATGTGTTCCTTTGGCCAATCTGGGCTGTTTCCTTACCTCTCAAAACCAAGAGTTTGCATGTCTGAAAACACTTTTACACATTAAAACAAACAAACAAAAAACTATGATGTAAGTATCAGGGCTTTAAAATTCTCATTTGAATGATCTGCTGGAAAAATGTGTTTTCACGATACCAGTTCCCCGAAAGCCACGACAGAGGCCTGTCCTCGAGGGGTAACACACACAGACCTTCGTTTCTCTTCCCAGGGCCACCGTGCCATTGGGAAGGCCAGCAGTTTTCACTCGAGGTCCTGTCACTTCTGCACGGACGTCCTGAGAGGCTTGCTCACTGACCGAGAAGGTCAGGGTCCTGGCCAGCCCCAACCTGCCCACACCACCAAGGGTACCCACCTGTACAGTGTCTTGTCATGGTCACCGAACTGGCTCTGGGGAGTGGCTTTAGGGCCGATGATGGGAGCCCCTGGAGGTTTAGATGCTACCTCTGGAGGCTGCAAAAGAAGACAAACATGCTGCAGGGACAGAGCATCACCAAGCAGGCTGCACTGGGCGGGGAGGCCCCAGTCACACGGTTACCTTAAAGCTGGCTGTGTGGTTCTCGTCCTTCCTGCTGTCCAAGGATTGGGACCTTTTGTTTTCAAACATCTTCACCCTGGTGAGCACGGACTGGGGTTTCATGGCAGGGTCTTCCTCCTCCTCGGTCAGAGTGGGGGGTGGAGGCAGTGGCTTGGTAGAGGCTGGTGGCACTTCCGGCTTGTGCTGAGATGTGGGCATTACAGAAGGGATCCCTGCAGCACCGTGGAGAGGCTCGTACTGGCCCGCTGTAGAGGGAAACCCCTGTGCAGGAACCTGCTCGTAGCTCCGTGGGTACTGGTCGTAATACTGCTTGGGCTCGGATGCCTTGGGGCCTGTAGGAGCATAGGGCTGTGCCTCCGGCCTGTACCTGCCGTGCACGTCATACCCGAGAGCGGCCGGCTCCTCGTGCCGGAGGGTGGAGGTTCGCGGGGGCTGGTCGTAGCGCGGCCTGTTGTCATAGGGCAGAGGACCTGGCTCTTCAAACCGTGGGAAATACCCTCGCTCCGAGGACTCTTCAGGGTGCGGCCTGGAGTCCAGGTCTCGAGGGTGCTGAGTGTCAAAAGGCGGCCGAGGCTGGTAGGGCTGTTTCTCGTCATAGTACGACCAGTGCTCTTCATACGCAGGGACGCGCTCTTCAAAGCGCAGGCGGTGGTCAAAGTGCCGAGAAAACTGGTCTGTGTAGCCGGAGGAGTCGTATCTGTACGTGGGCTGCTCAAGGTCTCTGCTGGCTTGCTTCTCCAGGTAGTGGGGCTGCGGCTCGTAGCTCAGGTTAGGCTCCTTTTCTGGCCTCTGCCCTGGGTGACCAAGCACTGGCTGCTTCAGAACATGGTTCTGCCTTATCATGTCCTCAGGATAGGGGTCCTTTCTGTACACCTGTGTAACAAGTTCACGGGTAAGTATGCAGGCTTGGCTCTAATTTGGGTCTGTTTTAATAGACAAAACCATGACTTAATATGTAAGAATGGTTACGTTCTCCCATTTATTACCAGGACAGAAAGATTAGTGGAGAAAGCCAGTTTACATGAAAGCTCAAAATTGACAGTGCAGGTAAGGGCTTTTATGTTCTAGCATGTGCTAAATGAAAAGGGAGTGAGAGGCAATCATTCAGTTTAGTTGAAAACTAACGCACTAAAACACTGATTCCCCTTGATTTGCACACTGAAAATAAAAATCAGAAAAAAAATTAACAGACACAATTTATAAAGCATAAACATGTCTATGATGGGTATCGATGATATAGTAAGGAATTCTGGAAGCTACAGAAAACCCCAAAATAAAAATAACAAAAACATGAAGCAGAACCCCAATTAAAAGGCCTGTTTCCAAATCATGTGTATGCCACCAGAAGCCATGCAAACTACAAGACGCAGACGCTGTGCCGACCGCAAGCGCTCTGGTGTGCACGCCCACGGGGACACAGCAGAGGGACAGCGGCGGGGGCCCAAGTGACCGTGGGCGGGCAGAGGGGAGCGCGAGGGCGGCGCTGCAGCACAGGTACCTGTGGCGGGTCTGCGTGCGGCGGCAGTGCGGCTCCTCGGTCTCCTAGCACTGTGGGGGCCGCCTCCGCACCCGGTGCTCTGAGAGGGTCGGCCTGTGCTGAGGGAGAGGCGGGGGGAGCAGGGGCGGGCTCCTCCAGTCTGACATGAGTTAATTTTACGTGAGGGTTAACGGCAGAGGCTGATGGTGCTGGGTTTGTTTCAGGCGAAAGGTAGGGGACTGGAGATGAGGCTTCTGCTTTCTGTGAAGTGTTTAAAATATTTTAAATGCTGTTTCATTTACTGCTAACTTCCCACCTCTGCTTATCGTGATTGGTAAACATACACTTTAAGTGTGCAGACTGACGAAACTATGACTTTAGATCCTACATTTTTAGAAAATTCAGTATATTGCTGTGTAAGAGGAACACACAGAGTTTAGAATCAAGTCCTTGGTGGTCTCATCGCAAAATTAAAAGTTAATTCTTAATCTGGAGAAAGGACAGAATATAGTCTTTAGCTCGACCGCCACTCTAAAATTCCGTAACGCACCTCTAACTACAGAACGCTGGGCGCTTGCTGCTTACCTGTTGAGAGGCTGTTTTAAATCCGGGGGAGTCTAGTCTATGGATGGGCTGTGGCTGCGCTTGTGGTGAGTAAGGAGGGTGTGTCTGGCTTTCGTGGTGCACTCCAGAGGGGTCCTCTCTCACAGGCTCAGAGGACCGCGTAATGGCAGACTCCGGGGGAGTCCCCACCTCATCATTAAGGGTTTCGTCTAGTTCTTGATCAGTGTAGGCCCCGCCTTCTGTATCTGTGTCTTCATAGTCAGAGGTGTGTCTACTGTCCGTGCTATACATTGAGTATTCACTACCTGGGGCTGACAGGTAGGACAGACGGTCGTCATGCAAATCAAGGTCATCGCTTGTGGCACCATCCGCCTGGGTCAAATAAAAGTAAATTGAAAAATTTATTCGGCAGTTCTGTAAGAGATGGCCCTTCTTTACAAAGGAGATGGAAAGGGGTATTTCTCTGTGAAGAAATCACCTAGTTCTTGAAGCTTCTGCGGAGGAAAAGGTGGAGAAGATTGCACAAGCACACATGCAGACACACAGAGCAGCCTCGGAGACCCATGAGGCGGGGATGAACCAAACGCCGGCTGGCCAGTCGGGACCCAGCAGGGCTCTGGGGCCCAGCCCGAAGACAGTGAGGCAATCCCAGCACTACTTGGGTCCATGAAACCTACGGTCGCCAGCCTGTCCACCCAAAGCCAGGCGAAAAGACAGTCAAACCAAGCTCACAGGAACAAGGACACACTGACAGCACGCACAGGAGGACAGCCATGAAAAGAAATGCCCTGGTTCACGCTGGGGAAGAGCTGAAGCTTTGGTCAAATGCAATGGAAAAGCGTCACCTCCGTGCTGGCTGCCGCCCTGACAGGGTCTTTCTGTTCCTTGTCAAAGATGCAGCAGCGAACGGAAGGCGAGAGAGGGATGCAGTTATGCTTCTCTTTTACAAGTAATCGAGAGCCGAGTCCATGCTTCACAGTCTTCACTGTCTTCAGAGCAGGCCAGAAAGAAAGGAGGAGCACTGGACGGGAAGGGGAGGCTGGCACTGGGTACTGATCTGGAACTAGCGCCTGGATGGGACAGCATGGTTCCGGAGACCCTGCCTGGACACAGTGTCCCGGCAGGCACGAGAGCTGAAGGATGTGGAACCTGGAACTCAGACAGTCTTTCTTCCACGTCAGCACGGACTGATGGACAAAGAGAAGGCTGGAGCCACATGAATGGGCCTCCCATGGAGTCCCGTGCTTGTTGTGTGAGAGCAGGACCCTGACCACGGCCCTCGTGGGAGGGAAGGCCAGGCTGCGTCAGGCCTCCCACAGGCTCTGGTTTGCACCAGCTGGCCTGGGACAGCACGACTCTAGGCCACAGCAGAGTGTGTCCCCCTGCAATCTCCACAGCTCTGAACTCCGAGATGCAGCTGCAGAAGAGAAGCCCTGCTGTCTGCTGGGGTCTTTACCTTGCAGGGTTCTGGGAGGCTGCTGCCCAGCAGGCCACCAGGGGAATAGTTAAGGCCTCGGGAAGAGTAGCTCGGAACTCACCAGTGCACTTGGCTCTTGCCCTGGTATGAGGCGCAGAAGCGAGAAAGAACCACAGGTCGCTGTGGACCAGAAGATGGCCTACGCCTATACAATAAGAAAGTTTCAGGATGACTTTTCTTGGTTTAGTGGGGATCATACGAGACTGTACCAGACCTTGTACACAGGAGCTTTTCCCAGGCATCAGATCAAAGCAGCTCAGGAAAGTCAATGTGAAATGAAGTGGTTTTAGTTGAAGAATCTTTTCAGGTAAAATATACTTGAATGGAAGGGGGTGGTAGAAATCAAGTTTCACTTAAATTTAACAACCTTTTCTGACTTACAAAAGGCATCAAATCTATCCTTATAATGAATAACCTATTTTCCTCACATAAAAAGTTGGGGGACTTAGACCTTTACTTTAAATCTAAGCAAAGAAAGAAAATATCACAAAGAAAAACGATAAAAAAGATTTGAGGATTTAAAAAACCTCTCAGATAGGTAGGCAGTAGGCTTTGTCTCGGGAACCGCCAGCGCAGGCTGCGAGCAGGCTGCCTGACGGAGGGTGCGGACGGCGCCGGGCTGCCACGGGAAAGCAGCACGGAGAGTGCAGCGGCTGGCGTGTCCCCATCCTGACCTCCCTCTCAGGTGCCCCAGCTGACATGGCAGTTACTCAGAGTGCGCTGACAGGTCTCATATGCACAGTCCCCCCACGCCCGGGGTGCTGACTAGAAGAACCAGGGTTCTGGCACATTGCCGAGGGCCAGAGGAGCAGACGCCACCTCTAGGTGTCACAGCATCTGTGTCTGCAGCGGCTGGGTGTGTTTGGGATGAGGGGACGGTGGCTCTGAGCATGCAGCATGCACCGTCAGAGCACCTGTACCCACGGCCAGGCAGAGGACAAAGGAGGCCATGCGGGGGCAAAACACCACAAAAACCAAGCCAACAAAGAAATGTGAAGAGCAACAACAACAACAAAAAAGTCTCAATCTTCCCTAGCAGCCAAAATGTATTAATATTGTATTGATCTCAAGCTAAAAGTAAAATCAAAAGGTTCGTTCAACTGTCAAGTCTGAGAAACCTATTAACTGTTCCCCCCAATCAACAGACCTTTCCCATGAAAGACTGCTTGCTCTCAAACCAGAGAGAGCAGAAATTATGTATTTTAAAGCTGGCCATCTGGACATATATAAGCTAAAAGTTTAAAGCCAAAAGGATGTACTGCTTTGTCCAACATTTCCTGGTTATGTTGTGAAAATGTTAACAGGTGCTAAGTGAAGAGATAAAACCCACAGGTAAGGATGTGGGGAAGCACCTGTAAGACGCGTCCGTCTGGAGCGCGCTGGGGAGACTGTGCTCCCGTCAAGGGCTGTGGCGACCCCACCCCTGCCTGCCGCACCTCCTCTCCTCGAGGAAAGCCCTGAATCTTATGGGCGGAGGACAGCATTTGGGGAACACTCATCTAGTGCAGGTGACTTCCCTCCTTGTCAGAGGAGGAACCTGAAGCCAGGTTCACAGTCACTCCCCAGGCAGACGGGGAGTCAGGGTTGAGCCAGAACTCAACCCTGCTCTTTCCATTACACTTTAAGAATTCTCTGGAGGGAACACCACTGAAGTGGTCATTCAATAGTTGGGAAAACTTCTGAATATCTTGCTATCAAAAACAACTTCCATAACCCCTGCATACATATTATAAAAACCTCACTAATCAGACAACAAAGTAACTCACAAATCTCTGATCAGTTGTACAAGTAGTAAATAGGTTTAAAGAGTAATAGGAAATCTCTCACCTTTCCTTCAGAGACCCACACCAGCTGGTTCTGTTGTTGCTGAATAGCTTCCTTCAGTGCACCATACCACCCGTCGTTCATTGAGTTTAAGTTGATGGTAGCTGAAAATGAATGAACAACATTGCTTTATAGTTCGCAGGCTGCCCAGAGTCCAAATTCACTGAGCCCTGCCAGGGCACCACTGCCAGTGCTGGGCAACATGGAAGTCGGTGTTCAAGGACACAACACTCTGAAATTTCTATCTGGCACAAAACATCTGCTTTCAATCCAGGCCAAGGTGACATAATTTTTCGTACTGGGACAGCACGACGTTGGTGCCTACAGACTGCTGCCCAGATGGTGAGGCTGAAAGAAGGCCTTTTAAATACTCACTTGTAAAAAGATGGTGGTTATTTTTACGCAGTTTATGAGACCGCTCATATAACTTCCTGGCGCTTTTCCGAGACTCTGGACATAACCTCATTCTCATCGTCTTCACGCCTTGCTTAGAATCGGGGTTAAGGAACACCACAATTGGGTACCACTGGGCGTAATTCAGACGATCAACTGCATTTGGTGTTACATCTAATAACGCGTGTTTGTCCTGGAGACAGAAGGAAAAAGAAATAAGGATATAAGACACAGTTAATTAAGAGTCATCGCAGAACGAGTCACAGCCTAAACCATACTCCAGTGGAGTGGACCTTCCAGTGTGCTCCAGGGTCTAGGAGCACGTGTCAGACGTCTGTAATCAGAGGATAATTCAATGACAATTTCTAGCCAGAATTAGAAAAAGACAAACAACATGTAACTAGCTCACTTTTAAGACAGCCCTGGGGCTATATTTGTGTTTGATTAGATCAGTGATTTTTAATCTTTTTCATCTCATGGTACAAACTGATTACTAAAATTCTGCAGCACACCCAAAAATGTGGTTTTTGCTGATCTGACAAAAAGTATAATTTTGATTCATTCACACCACATGGCTACTGTTACATTGGCTGCTGTCATTTTTTTATGTGACAATCTAAGGGAAAAGAGGTCAGTGCCCCTGGCTAGTCAGGTGTTCCACGTTGTAAAAATTCTCATGCTGTACCAGTTGAAAATCGCTAGGTTAGCCCTGGCTGGTGTAGTTCAGTGGACTGAATGCGGGCCTGTGAACCAAAGGGTCGCTGGTTCAATTCCCAGTCAGAGCACGTGCCTAGGTTGCTGGCCAGGTCCCCAGTGGCAGGTGTGTGAGAGGCAACCACATTGATGTTTCTCTCCATCTTTCTCCTTCCCTTCCCCTCTTTCTAAAAAGATAAATTAATAAATCTTTTAAAAAAAATCGCTAGGTTAGACTGAGCACGTGTATGACAATTTAATGTTCCTGACATGATCTTAAGGAATAAAAACAGATTCCCTACCATAAAATTCAAAGTGCAACCTGAAGTGTACTAATGCAATATAAAGAAGTCTATTAATAGATCTGGATATTTTTTGTGGTAATCAAAAAATCCCCTTTTGATGCGTGTACTACCATTCCTTTGAAAGTGGTTATTAACGGCTTTCAGTATGGCATACCAGTGATAATTTTAGAAAAAAACTACTTTCCACTTTTGAATTAACCAAACCTCATCCCACTAGAAAATACAACACGCACAGCCTCTAATGAACCAGGTGTCTAGTAACTTACCTGATCTATGATTTGCTTTATTGTATGAAGGCGAATAATGCCCGAGCTGCGCTGGTCCGTCCCGGCATCGCGCGGTTCACTCTCTATTCACAAGGTCAGGACAAAGACAAACATCCAAGTTCCACTGGTTAGAGCAGAGTTTCTCCACAATGGGGCTCTACCGACATGTGGGCCACGTAATAATGCTCACTGAGGGGAGCCCTGTGCATTATGGCTTGTTTTGCAGCAGTTCTGGCCCCTACACCTCCCTTTTGCTCCCATTGTGAAAACAAAAATGTCCCCAGTGGGGCAGAAATGTCCTGAACAAGAACCACTGCATTAAGGGCAGTGCTTCCCAATGACGCCTGGGATTAAGAGAAGGCAGGTGAGGCGTTTGACTCAGGTGCAAAATTTAGTGGGGTTCCCCCAAGATCTCAGTAATCATGGAACATTTGGATACAGTGAGTTCAAAAAATTCAAAATTAATTCTCTATAATAGACAACATATCAAAATTTCAAAGAGAATCTAGAAATGGAACTTGAATGAAAATTATTTAAGACTGTCACTTGGCTAACAAAGATCATCAACTATGGCAATTCTCTCAATTAAAAATGAGATTAAAAAAGTAGACTTATAATATAATATTAAGCTTGCTTTCATTACAGCCAGGAAAATAAAACTATATTGTTTCATATAAATAAAAAATTTAGACTTACAACAAGTTTTAATATGAGTATTACTCATGTTTTACAAAAATTTTCAATCTACTTAGCTGTTCTAGAAAAGAAATTAACCATTAGAAAAATGCAAAAACGTGTATAGAGAAATGCATTTTTTTCTTTTTGTCTAGGGCTCTAATATGGCTTGGCACAGCTCTGCTTCCAAACCTTTTTAACACTGTGGGCATAAGAGGAAACACCAGCATTTGTAGGGCAGACTGAGATGCACTGAGAAGGCCTATCCTGGCCGCAGCCCCCAGTCCCTGCAGGCTGAGATCAACACCCGGGCAGGTCCATAACCCATCAGCGATAATGCTACCGTGGACTGGCTGGGCAGTCCCGGGTTAGGGCAAACAGGAGCAGAGAAGGCTGCTCATGGTTTCATGCTGGCACCTGTCCCTCCCTGCTGGTGCATCACATGCCCCCCTGGGGCTTGAGCTGATGTGGAACCGAGAATCTCGGAGGTCCAATTTACATGAAGTTCTTCACTAAAAAGGCACAGCCATATCTGTGACTCTGGTGACAAGCAAAGCGTGAAATTAAATCAGATCCAACAAAGGCAGCCATTTGGAAGGATGGTCACACTGTGGGGTGAGGGGAGTGATTCTAGGCAAGCAGACTATGGTGGGACCAAGGCACACAAGCAAGGAGGGTGGAGCCCCCTACCTGGCAGACACATGAGAACACAAGAGAGAGATCAGCTGGCAGTCTGGGTTGGAGGAAACCTATGAATTCCTAAACTCAAGGACTCGAATTAGATCCGAAGAGGATAAATATAAGCTATCTAGAATTCCTTTCCTAAGAGCCTGGCTGAGGAATAAAACCAATTAGAGCAATCAATTTCTCCTTAAGGGAGAGAGCTCTGTAAGTCTTCACACTTGCCTTCCCTACATGTAAAAACCCTTTCTTTTGGTCATGAGTGAGGTTATCACCTACTTCAGGCAAAACATCATCTATAAACCACGACCAAGAAAAGTCTGCTTCCAAAAGAGAAGAACTGCATGGGGAATGAGAAAGAAACATTTTCTAACTAGCTCAAATTTTACCATTATTTGTTTGCAAATCTTCTGAGTTTCAGACAATGGACACCCTCATTCGACTTTACCAGCAACCAAATAAAAAGGAGTTCAATAAGGCAATGCTCTGATCCTCTGAGCTAGCACCCACAGGGTTTAGAACAGCGTGGGTGGGAACAGGGCCGCCCCTCTGGGGTGCGGCGACACCACATGCTGCAGCAGACAGAAAACGTGCACATCCTACGGCTCGCCCCCTCCTATCTGTGGAAATTTTGTCAAGAAAATCATCATAAATATGGGAAAAGCTACTCTTTAGAAGTCAAATCCTTTGGAAAACAAGGCAAAGCACTCCAAGTAAGTAAAATATGGGCAGCTTTCTACACCCTTTACAATAACAAACATTTAAAACACTATACAAACAACAGAAGGCGGATCACACCATAAATTAATTGCAGGATAATAAAATATTATTAAGAAGGAAAACAGGATATAAACTTTTAAAAACTGCATATATGAAACTTCAAAAAATATGTCTATGAAGGGTGAAAGGACAAAAGAAAATATGATAGGGTAAAATTTAGGGCAATGATTTATGCCAAAACTAATTTTTTAACTTCTGCAAATATAGAGTAATACTTTATAATTAGAAAATGGAATTTAGGCTTTTACATGTAATTTATGCAATATAAGTTACGTGTAAGTTTTTACATATAATTTATGTAAGCCAAAGTGGTCATAAGAAAGTTTACATTCTTCAACTACCATAATAGCCAAACTATGCAAAACTATAGGAGAATGGGCAGGCAAAAGCACTTAAACTATTACCTCATCAAATGTTTGCACTTCTCATTTACTCTAAATGTCTGCAATAACAACTGATAGCATGAATCATGCTTTTATTGCCCTTTTAAAATATTTGAATATTTCTATTAGCTTAATGGCCAGAAGCACTGGGCTGGGGCCAGAAGCACAGGGTTCAAAGCCAAGTCCCGTGGCTCAAGGGCCAGGTGTTGCCAGGGAAGGCTAGACTAAAGTGGGTGGTGTCCCCACCTGAGGGCTCAGGCTGCACCACCTCAGTAGGAGTACTCACCCCGTGGTGATTCTGTCAGGGCTAAAAAGCATGGTCTGCTGGGGAGTTTTCTTATAAAGCCCAGAGCTTCAGAAATAGCAACTCATTATTAAAAGCAACTGGGCAAACGAGGACTCAGTCACTCAGGTTTCCCTCCAAGTTAAATAAAATGGAGTAAACTGCACTTTCTCTTACATACAATTCTACTCCCCTTAAGTGAATGGATCAGACCCGCCCTTTAGAGGAGTAACTCACAAAGAAACACCTCCCCCTTCCCGTAAGTCAGTGCTGAGGCTACTCACTCGCAATCTGATAAATGTCTGGCTCTTCTCTGGCCAGCTTTTCTCTGGCCACATCAGCTATGGGTCCGAAGATGGTCACAGGCCTCAGAAACCCAGCTGGGGAGAAATCCAAATGAGAAGTGGCACAGTTTACCCTTTTCCTTCTCAAGCACACTGACACTAAAGGGTATTAGGTTAGTGTGTAGAAGACAAATCACCTTCTCGAAGAACAACTCTCTCATAGGCTGGAAACTTCGTTTGAACTGGCTGAGCTGACAGATCCTCTCTGCTTTTCCGGAGATTTCTCTTGGAGCTGCGAAGACCTCGGAATCTCCAGAAGTCAGCGCGGTCCCCGCCTGCAGTTTTTGGGAGTGTGTACTGCACACTGGCTAACTGCTCAGCTCTGGACAGGAGCAGGTATAAAGAAAATACAGGTACTTTAAGAACACAAAATGGAAAAAGACCCACAAAAAACTAAATGTCAAAATTCTGGACAGAATCTCCCATGTTGTTTACATCTTAATGATGTAACTGAAACAGAGGAGTCTGAAAGCTAATTACAGATGTGACGAATACAGTGAAATCTAACTCTTCACATTACCCAAACTTCCCAATGGGACTGCAATCTGTCGTTACTTAACTCGTTCTGAGGAGTATAAAGACCTTCGTACCTGTTCTTGTTAGGGATGATGCCTCGCTCTACCTCCTTGTGGTTTTTGCCAATTCGAATCGCCAGCCAGGAGCCCAGTTTTCCATTGTACAAGGTGTCCACGACGCGGAACACCTCTCCTTTGTTAAAACTAAGTCCATAGGGAGATTCCTTCTCATATTCAAAGTGGGTTCTAATGTAGAAAGAATCTCCTACATCTGACTCTACGATGCGACGATAAACTAAAATAGAATCCAGAGAAAAACAACATTATCAATAGCTGGCGGAGTAAGAAATTACCCTGCAGAGAACATGTGACGTGAAGATGGTGTCAATAGTGTTATCAACGACAGATGCAACAGCGGCCAGCAAACGCTGAACTGCTGGGCTCTGCGACGAGTATTCTGCCTCAAGTATGTCACCATGACCTCACGGAATGCAAACTCCTAGCACTGCTGCCCTGCACGGGACAAACTGATGCACAAACAGACCAACAACTCATTCAAAGCCACACATGCTTTCTATTGAACCACATTATTTAAAGGCAGAGTTATAGATATCCCATTTTCTAAATGAGCTGCCCTCAGACGAGGGCAATTTTGCCCACCCCCAAAGTGGATGCGTGTTTCTTGATTCCTGTAACTGTGGGTATTGGGAGGAGAGTGTGGGCACTCCTGGTATCTAGTGGGTAGAGCCCAGGGATCCTTCTACATGTCCTGCAATGCACAGAACAGCCCCACAACAACGAACTGTTTCACCCAAGCATCAACACTGGGAGCATGAGGAACACTGTACTGAATGAACAGTGCCTCTGCTTAATCACAGAGAGGATCCGGCATTCTCTTGAATTAATGCTACAAGCACCGGAGAGAATGGCCTGGAAAACACAAGCACAAAAATCGGAAGCTGCCCATACGTACTGCTGTGTGGTTCTGAGGGCTGATAACAGATGGGGTTCTCCTGTGCCTGTGCTGGGCTGGACAGCACCCTAAATCCGTCACAAAGCCATGGCAGCTGGGTGTTCCTGTTGCTGTGCTGTGCTAGTTAGCACAGTCAGATTGTGAGTCCCTCAGGACTTAAAATAAATAAGCTCCTTGTGAGATGAGCAAAGTCATTTGTCTCTCAGCAATGACAGACTTATTTAAAAGAGCTGAAATTAAAACCCCTACTTAAGTCCCCAAACTTCTACAGGCTCATTCCCGCCCTGTCCTGGCAGTCACTCACCGTCCTTCTTCTTCTGGGCCAGTATGGTCACCTCCTCGCCCTTCGGGAGGTCGAGCAGGAAGAGGACGGCCTCCTCCCTTATGATGTTGGTGAAGTCCACATTGTTTACCTGTCGAAACACATTTCACAAATTACCGAAACATCTATCCCCACAGGGAACAAAGACTCTCAAGAGTTTCCCAACTTAAAAATATCACAACTTCAAGAAGAAAAAATGTATTTTACTTTGGAGGAAAGAATATTCTGTAATTTGGAACAAGTAGAAACTAAGTACACAGAATGAGTGAAGGTGTAAATGCATTTCAGGAGTAGTCACTGCACACCCTGACATTAAAGGCTGCCCACTGCAAACCCTGACCCATTTAGACCAAAAGACAACTTCTAATTCCAAATATGTGTTATCACTGGGGAATCTCTGGCTTTAACATTTAAAATCCCAAGTTCTGTTAATGTGCAAAGAATCCTACATATCTGTTATCATTGGGAAATCTCTGGCTTTCAAATTTAAAAGTTCCAAGTTCTGTAAATGTGAAAGAATCCTACTTTCCTACTCTCTGCAGAAGGAACGGAAAGGAAACGAGATGGAGGGAACGAGTGTGTGCACTTGTGGCACCTCCGAAAGAGCGCCTGTCGTCAGAAAGAGGACAGCCACTTGTACCAGAAGCTCTGAAGGACCAATAGGGACTTGTCCACATGTCACCAGTGACTGTGTACAGACCTGTAGGTACATGTGCTGCTTTTCATCTTTTGGAAGTTTCCCACATTTAGGAAAAAGTCAACATGCACTGCTTTTACGATCCCAAATAAAAAGACTATTAAGAACTTTTTTAAAAACGATGCATGCCCTGATTCCCTCAAGTGCAGAAGAATCATCAAAGAAGGTAGGAAAAGAATTTGAAAGATCAGAGGAGGACCAGAATGACTGTCAAGGAAGCCAAGGAAGAAAAGCACTTCAAGAAGGGTAACTAAGACCTTCAAAACGCAGCAAAAAAAAATAAGGACAGTGAGGGCTACAGCTGACATTAGGTCTCTGATGGCTTATCTAAGTCCAGGTTCAGTGACAGCCAGGGTGGAAGCCAGGCTATTCAATGGTGTGACGGCACTGGCTGAAAAGAAAGCAGGGGAGGGACTGAACAAGTTCAACAGCCAAAGGAGAGACACAAGACGGTAGAGGAGAGATGAAGAGCCGGCAGAGGGTGAGAGAAACACGCCCCAGCAAGACTCTGGGCTGGGAGACCACATCCAGGACACGGGCAGGAAGCTGCCAGAAGAGAAGGGCAATGACAATGTGAAGATGAGAAGTAGAGCAAATGCAGAAACTCACACTTGACAGACTTGACCTTCTGATTAAAATGGCTCATCTACCAAGAGTTGGGCTATTTTACAGAGAGAAGAGATAGGTAAAGATGTTCACATGTTACTGGCCACACTGCTATAAAAAAGGAAGAAAAAAGACCCCACCGATAGGCTGCATCTCAACAGGGCTCTCTGACACATGCAGGGCGTGAAGCCTCGGAGCCAGGGCAGCCAACCACACACTGCCCGAAGGCAACCCCACCTCCTGTACCTGAGCCCTCAGCGGGGCACACAGGGCCCCTGGGGGCTGTGTGGATGACTGCGAAGACCACATCCGTGGGGGGCGGGGGGGGGGAGCAACACCTGACACTGGCCTACTGGTAAATGGTGGCTCAGGGTGGAGTCCTGCCAGCCTCAATGCTTGAATGAACTAAAAAAGGTGCATAGCACAGGGCTCTAGGGCTTACTTCATTTTGTAGGTTTTGTGCCACTAATGACTAAAATGAGACCAAAACATCACACTGTGTAGTAACATGAACACAGCAATTATAAAAGCAAACATGGGGACAGGAAATGACAAGCCCAGCATATCCAAGACCTGATGGATTCTTAACCTGAATGTGTATGTGGTTCCAGAGACTGCGATGTACGTTACACTCTACTTATTGTCGTAGGTTTGCTATGTGAGGTCCTTTCCTGCAGGTCGAAGTGCTTGAGACCCATGTAAGTTAGTGTACGACATACCCTGAGAATTTGATCACCCTCTTCTAAGCCTTCTTTGGCTGCAGGGCTATCTTCTAGAACGCCAGCTACAAATATTCCGACATCATTTCCACCAGCCAGCCGCAAACCCACACTATCTCCTTTTCTGAATTTTACCAATTTCATGCTGGGCCTGTTGAAACAAATATCTCATTTGAAACAGTTAAGAGAGGCATGAGGAGTTCTAGCAAACGGCTGCAATGAAAACCCCATTCGGACTGGAACAAAGGGCCGTCACCTCTGCGCTTCCCTGCATACCACCGATTTGCTGGGTACAATGGAGTGTAGTGTCAGAATTCCAAATCAGATTTAATCGCATTTTTAAAATTTTATGATTAACAAAGTAAGTTTCAAAATATCCAGGTTTGATGGGCAACCACTGCTTTACATACTGATTTCTAAAATTATTAAAACAGTGTTTGCCAATGTTTCTGAATACAGGGTCCATACCCTGTATGGGTAGCTAAAACCACTCCCATTTTTAACGGTCCCGATTCATACCACACCACCTCTGCTGAGTAACTGAGAAGTACCGCGTTATACAGGTAGAACCTGAAGCATGAGCTGCTGCACATGTCTACAGCCCCAGGGAGTGGGAGCTGGCTCCACACACTGTAGTCTCTGCAGCAACGAACAGTGGAGTGGACACTTCACAGCTGGTGGCCGCTCTCAGCTGGCCACAGACATCACGCACTCCACAGCCCTTTGCACCTGCAGGGAACACCTGGCCATCGCGCAGCGTTCCTGGGTTAGCCCGATGGTCAGTCTCTGCCCCTCTGTTGTGAGACAGTGGGAAGGAAGCGCTGCACGCACAGCCCTCTCTCATCAGTGTGGGGTCAGAGGCCTGTGACACTGCTACAAGCCAGCACTGAAGGACGCCTTCGGAGAACGGCTGGCCAGAAGCAGGTCCCAGTTACAAATTCCCAAGGGTAATTAATTACAGGCTACATACATTACTACAAATTACCCTTCTAGGTTCCGTAACTGTATCACATTTTTCTGCCTAGTTTGACATGAAGTATAGGAAAAAAACCCTTTCTTCTTCATTCAATAACTGACAATGAGCTAATTATTAGAAACTAACAGAATCTAACTTAAAAAAAAACCCACACAAATGAAATGAATGAATGAATGAAGAAGCTGAGGAAAGAGAAGTCTAGTCCTTCAACCCCCTGAAGACTACCTCAGCTTTCAGAACGGAGAAGGTATTCATGACCGGTGTCCTCATCTGGCCTCTCATAGGCCAGACACAATGCTGAGTGGCTGTCGGTGGGATGCGGTCATGCACTGCCCAAGGCTGGTGGCACCTTGTCTCATCATGAAGGGTGCGGGGCCCTTGGCTGTGAGGCGGTCCTCCTTTTCCAGCGAAGCCAGAGCTCATCATACCAGACTCATCTTCCTTATGACCCCGGCCCCCAGAAGTTCTCTTCTAACACGGAAGCAGCTACTGTGCCTCAAAAAGCAGAAAGGCGCACTGCAGCCTGCCTCCTCCCGCACAATCTGGCCGTGAAAAAACACTGTTTGAGGACCATTTTAGGCTCCACCTCACAGTATGTGTTGGGTCCCTTTTACCAGAGAGGCAACAGAAAACTGATTTGATAATCACGATGGTCTGAATCTGGTTACACAATTTACATCTCTATCCCATCAACCATAAAATATAAAGTGATAAAAGATACAGAGCACAGAACACCTAGAGATGCTAACTAATCTGGAACAGGCTCTCAACCAGCTGTGACTCTGCTCCCAGGAAACACCTGACAGCGCCTGGGGACATTTGGGTTGTCACAACTAGGGGGTGGTGGGTGCTACCGTTGGTGGCCAGGGATGCCACTGAGCCATGATAAACAGTTATCTGGACAAAATGTGGATAAAGAAAACGGAGAAGCAGTACATTTTTTTTGTTGTTGTTTTTGATGGTAGGACAATAGAAAGCTTGTGAAAAATCTGATGTCTAAAGAGACAACAATTTTTTTACTTCATGACCTAAAAACTAGGAAGGAGATGGAGGTAAGAACAAAGCAAAGATCTGGAAAGTTTCCTTGTTACTCTTTACCTTCTGATTCTATCATGTAAATAAATTCTTAAACCTCCTAATCATAGTACTAATGGCATACAGTCATTTTAAAAGTATATGAACATGGTTTGCAACTGAACTCTCACTTTAAATAACGCTTAACACTGGACAGAGAGACAACATGAGTTTAAAATCGCATTACCGAAGAATCCCGTCCTCATGCGTTGAGCTGGGCAGGACGCCGTCAGACGGACTGACGGGTAAATCCACATCCGGCTGTCCAACCTGGGCATACACAGGCTTTGGTTCTAAAAGAAAGAAAACTTAAACTGTGTAGAAATCGTTTAATACAAATTGGAATAATAATGTAAGAAACCATTGAAGTAAACAAACAAAAATATCTACAAAACATGTGAGTTCAGAGAACCTGATAAGGAACATATACACTGTATGTGTTAGTGTTCAGTTTGTCAATTCTAGTGTCTTTATAACAAGTATGTGTGTTACACAATCACCTGTGCCTTCCACAGAAATAGTGGTTCTGAAAAATGGTTTGCAAAATGTATTTTTTCTAAAAAATATTTTATTTATTTTTAGAAAGAAGGGAAGGGAGAGAGGAAGAGAAATATCAACGTGTGGTTGCCTCTTGGGTATCCCCTGCTGGGGACCTGGCCCACAGCCCAGGCATGTGCTCTGACTGGGAATAGAACCTGTGACCCTTCAGTTTGCAGACCCATGCTCAATCCATCAAGCCACAACAGCCAGGGCTGAACAATGCATTCTTGAGAAGAATAACAGAAGATAAGAATGTGTGGGAACCTACATTTCTGTTAAGGCTGTCAAAGCAGACTTCTTTCTTTCCTGTTGTAAAAATTTTTAAATATCCACATTCTTGCCACTCACATGCAGATCAAAAACAAAGCTGGAGAAAAAAACAGACAGTAGCACCAAAATCTCCAAGCCTTTTAAGATCTTGAAACCTTGCAGATTCTTATGTCCAATCTCATACACAGTGCCACAGGTAGACTTTACAGTGTTTATGACACTTTCAGTAAGCAAATAACCTTAATTTTTTTCTGAAACAATGAGTAATTTCTACTTCAGAAAAAAAAAGTCCATGCCTACTGACTCATGCCAACCATCCATCCACAAAGAAAATGCCGAAAACTCCAATACAAAAGAATTCAAACACAGGAAGCAATAGTTGTAATAACAACATAATAGTAGTGGTTAGTACTAGCAGCATCTTTTACATCTCCCATAAATCCCACGAATACTTTAGGCTGAGTGCAAATGTCTTTGGACTCAGCATCTTGCAGGCTCACCTGGAATAGCAGGTGCTTGCTTCTCATTTCTTTCAACTATGGCTTCCTCCACAGCCTTAGGCGCATGGTCATCTGCGTGCTTGACAGGAGTTGAGGCAGTCCCGGGTTTAGAAACTCTCTCCTCCTCTCTGCTCCTGAGACTGCACATTTGGAAAATGAAAAAATCACAAGCCTGAAGATGGGTGTTGAAAATCATTTGAAGGAGAACTTTAGAAAAAAATGACACGGGACTTGCTATAACAGCTCAAAATGGGACCACAGACTAGTCATTAAAACTAGAGTGGTGCTGCCAGAGAAGCAGGAAGATATACGTGAGACACAGAAAACCAAGAGGTTCATCCAGAGCAGCAGCTGATTGTAACGGCAGCCCAGCACTATCAGGAAGAATGTACTGCCTTTCCCGGTGTTAGGACAACTGTCTGCCAACTTGAGAAATTAGATCTCTGCACCCACCAGTGACAAAAATATAAATTCATTTTAGATGGTATAAAATCCTAAACATAAAATAATTTTTTAAAATTTGTATCATTGAAAATGAAGAACTTTAAAAGACTCAATCCACAAAGCAATGACATATCATCAAAGGTGATTACATAGTTAAGATGCAGGCATATAACTGGTAAAGATATACATATTGGGTTAAACCAAATGAAACGAGGTTTTTAGTTGAAACAGCTGAGTATCAATAATTGCATATAGTTTGATCTAACAATATACAAGAATTTGATATTTAAAATGCATAAAAATCTGTAAGTCAGTTTAAAAGACATGACTGATGGGAAAGATGAGTAAGCACCAGAAAGAGGCAATGCACCAGAGTGGACGCGCGGACAGAAAACATACACATGTGCTTGGCCTCAGTAGCCACTAAGGAAATCATCCTATCACTCCTAAGAGCTTTCGCACATCATCTGCAAGGAAACACATGGAGAAGCCAGAACTCGCACAAGGAAGGTAAAAACTAGTGTAAATATGTGTGACTGTGTGAGGGTAAATTGGCAGCTATTCATCAAAACAAGAAACACAAACATGTGACAACCTGTAATTAATTCCACTTCTAGGTTTACCCTAGAGAAATGCATGTATTTCTAAGACAACATTTATAGAAATAGTTACATGGATACCAGTTCTATTAGCAACAAACAAAATAATTAAAACTAGGTCTTCCGCCAAGATGGAGGCATAGGTGGAGAAGCCGTGCTTTCTCTCACAACCAAGTTTAGAGACAACTAAATATTAGCAACAAAACACAGCCAGAACACAGAAAATTGAACTTTTCAGAAGTCTGATAACAACAAATTCTTCAGCCTGACTGGTAAGAGGGGCGAAACCAGCAGCTGTCGGAGCGCGGTTGCACAGAAAAACTCGGTCAGACAGACTCAGGCGCGCAGAACCCAGGCGCAGGGTTGGACTTAGTGAGTGACTCAGTGAGTGACCACGGGGAAACAGCAAGGGAGCAGGGCTGTGGGTTGACTGTGGTCACGCTTTCCTGTGCAGATAGACAAGCGAGGGCGTGGGCAGTGAGACTATGGGACTGAGCAGGCCCATGGCGAGCAGCAGCAGAGGGGACCGCCATTTCCCTGCTCTGACCCCGCCTCCACATACAGCGTCACAACCCAGCGACCTGAGAGTCCAAGACTCCGCTACTCATACTTAATGGGCGAGAACAGACCAAAAATGGCTCAAGAAGATCTCAAAGCCCCAGAGCCTATAAATCTAAGCAATGAAGAAATAGCAAAACTCTCAGATGCACAGTTTAAAACACTGGTGATCAGGACCCTCACAGAACTGGTTGATTATAGCCACAAATTAGACAAACATATGAAGGCAAAACTAATGGAAATGAATGGAATTGCACAGGAAATCAATAGCGATGAAAAGGAAACTGGGACTCAAATCAATGGAGTGGACCAGAAGAAAGCAAATAATGGCCAAACAGAAAAGAGTCAAGAAGCAAGAATTCAAAAAAATGAGGAGAGGCTTAGGAACATCCAGGACATCTTTAAACGCTCCAACATCCGAATTATAGGGGTATAAGAAGGGGAAAAGGAACAGCCACCAGTGGAAAACTTATTTGAACAAATAATGAAGGAGAATTTCCCCAATCTGGCATAGGAAATAGACTTCCAGGAAATCCAGGAAGCTCAGAGAGTCCCAAAGAAGTTGGACCCAAGAAGAAACACACCAAGGCACATCATCATTATATTAGCCAAGATTAAAATGAAGGAGAGAATCCTAGAAGCAGCAAGAGCTAAGGGGACAGTCACCTACAAAGCAGTTCCCATCAGACTGTTAGCCAATTTCTCAAAAGAGACCTTACAGGCAAGAAGGGGCTGGAAAGAGGTATTCCAAGTCATGAAATCCAAAGACCTACAACCAAGATTGCTCTATCCAGCAAAACTTTCATTTAGAATGGAAGGACAGATAAGGTGCTTCTCAGATAAGATCAAATTCAAGGGAGTTCATCATCACCAAGCCCTTATTATATGAAATGTTAAAGGGACTTACCTAAGAAAAAGAAGTTAAAAAAACATGAACAGTGAAAGGACAGCAAACTCACAGGTATTAAGAACCACACCTGCCCTGGCTGGCGTGGCTCAGTGGACTGAGCGCGGGCCTGCGAACCAGAGTATCGCGGTTCGATTCCCAGTTGGGACACATGCCTGGATTGCAGGCCAGTTTCTAGCAGGGGACTCACAAGAGGCAACCACACATGGATGTTTCGCTCCCACTCTTTCTCCTTCCCTTCCCCTCTCTCTAAAAATAAATAAATAAAATATTAAAAAAAACAACCACACCTAAAACAAAAGCAAACTAAAAGGACAGCTAGATCAGGAGTGGAAACATAGAAATGAAGATCTCAAGGAGGGTTAGCAACAGGGGAGTGGGAGGAGGAGAAGGGGAGAGAAGGTACAGAAAATAAGTAGCATAGACTCTAGATAGAAAATAGGTAGGGGGAGGGTAAGAATAGTAGGGGAAATATAGAATCTAAAGAACTTGAGACACATGGTCATAAACTAAAGGGGGGGTAATGGTGGGGACGGGGGTGTAGGGTGGAGGGGAATGAAGGGGGGAATAGAACAACTGTAATGGCATAATCAATAAAAAATAAATTAAAAAAAATAATTAAAACTAAATCTCCATCAAAAGGCCCTCCCCAAAATCCAAAAGTTGAGCCAAGCAATCCATACACTTTTTAAAAAGAGACCAGTAAATACACCTCAAATAAAAATATAAATCAAGCCCTGGCTGGTGTGGCTCAGTGGATAGAGTGCAGGCCTGCAAACCAAAGAGTCACTGGTTCAATTCCCAGTCAGGGCACATGACTGTTGCAGGCCAGGTCCCCAGTTGGGGGAATGCAAGAGGCAAACACACATTAATGTTTCTCTTCTCTTTCTCTCTCCCTTCCCTTCTCTCTAAAAATAAATAAATAAAATCTTTGTAAAAATATTAATCAAGATCTACAATTTAAAAAGGTACCAGGTATGTAAAGTTTTATAGCCAAGACCTCTCAACCTCTGAAAAACAAAGTGATTCCTATTTCTCCTATTATTGTTGACCAAAGGAAAATATAGAAAAGGCTCTACTTCCATCTTAAACACTTTGTATTATGGAAAATTCCAAACACACACAGCAACACAGAACAATATCACAAAAACATGTATACCCAGCTTTAAAATTTTTCAACATTTTGTTGATTGGCAATTCAGTCTGAAGCTAACAGAACCCTAACACCCCAACCTTGATAATGACAGTACAAAAAAGAAAACATATTTTAAATTAGGAACGGGAAAAGCTCTAAGCAAAGTAGTACCTAAGGGTATATAGCAGTGATTCAAAAACTATTGTACTGTGACCAAAGCAGGGTGATTTCAAAACTTTGTGGCTCCTTCAACATCAGGAATCAATCACAAAATTTATTATTACATCCAAATATTAAAGAAAAAATGTTAGTGTCACTAAAAGAGGCACGTGAAAAATTTAAGTCATTCCTAATAAAAAACATAAATACAGCAAGACGGCAATACAAACGGTTATGGGACTGTTTTCCAAAACCGAGACGCAGCACCACATGCAGGAGGGAAATGCTGGGTACGTTCACATTGAGGTCAGGAACAGCACAGCGAGGCCCGCCCGCAGCGCAGCTATTACCCACCATAGTGAAGACTCACACGATACGATCAAGAGATAACATGCCTGAAGTACTGGGGGAAAAACTCAGTGAGTATAAAAGAATACCAAAACATTACTTGAATTAAGAGAGCATTACAAAAATCAACAGATTTTTCTCAGTATCCTCAACAGCCAGATAAAAATGAAAAAAATATGCCAGCAACAATACCATTACAAATCATAAAATTTCTAGATAAAATTTGTACAATTTTGGATTGGGGGAGATTGCCCTAAATAAGCAAGATAAAAACTGAGAAGTCATAAAAGAAAGATAAAAATATTTCACTAGATTCAATGTTAACTGCACAAGATACCATGAGGACATACTTGCAACACACTCACAAAAAGAGCTACTACTAACTGATGACCAAAAAGAAAGAACAGCCCCACAGAAAAACGAGCGACAGAAATAAACTAAGCACTAGACTGAGGAAGCGAGGCCAATGAATGGCCTGTGATGTCATGCAAAGGTACTCAGCTCCACGAGTAGTCGGGAAACCATCAATTTAAAGTTAGGCGATGATGCCATGCAACCATCAGATTAGTAAACAAGGAATTCTGAGAAACAAGTCATCTGGAGTTCCGAGTCATTGGACGAGGAATCCAGTACAATACTATCCGGGAAAATGCTAAAGTTAACACCAACACCCTCTTTGATGACTTCAGAATTTTTTTTAAAAAGGCCTGTATATAAATTCATGGACAAGGATGATTATGCAATGTTGTCTACATGGGCGAAGATCTAAAAATGGCCTTTCCAAATTATGGGACGTTTCTTGCCAAAAGAATAAGGATGCGAGGAAGAGGATCACCTCGCGTTGTTAAATGAAAGAACTAGCTGGGAAATAATGTGCCGAGACTGACCTTTTTAATTATTAAAAGACACACACACACAAACTCTACACGTGATGCCGAATGTTTGTATGAGGATGAAGAAAGGCTGAACTCAAGAGTAGTGGGAAATGGTGATTTGACCTATTTTCGTAAGCACACATTGCTTTTATAATTGAACATAAAATAAAAAATATTAAAGGAAGTTACGAGAGCATGTACACAAAGACATGGAAATGGCCCCAGGACACAAGATGAGAAGCACAACTACAGAACACACACCGTGCAACACCCCTGAAGTATGAAAGAAAACCCTCCCCAGGGCAGGCTGACACACGTGCACACTCATGTCCCCTAGTTACATGTTACTTAGAAGATCAAAACAACTTAAATACTTAAAAGAGTAAAATATTTTATAACAATGTTGACTTTAAAAAACTGGTGTTTTTAAATGGAACTGTCTCACTTTAAACAAATAATTTGGTTCTATTCAAGCACATTATTAGCAATCTCTTAACAGGAAAAGTTTCTTCTCTGCCATCTTCCTGAGAGGACAAAACATAAGCACATTTTATAGTTTCTATTTCCATATTCATTAACTGCTCTGGGGAGCACGCTCTAATTTTAAGTTGCATTTACTAAACGAGCTGCACGTAAGTAAAAGTTTTTAAGGAAAAAAACTCTAAAAGCCAAGGTATTTTCCAGTTTGAATCAGAATGTACAACGTTTAAATAATACAAGGTCAAAACTTTTAGACACTGCTTACACAATAAGCTCATGTACAATTAGTCTAAGAATAAATAAGTATAATTAAACCTTATTCCCAAACTGGCCTGGGTGGCTCACAATACAAAGGGCAGGATAGAACAGTATAATCTTCTTGCAGTCTTTGCATTAAAAAATGCAAATGGTATTTATTATACCTATGAATATTTTTGAGAGAATGAGATCAAAGAATTACATAATTTTAACAGTTCAATAGATCTCTGCTGCTCTGCAACAAGGAGACTAACTAGCATTTTCATCTCCGACTCATTTGCAGTCCATATTACTTCTCACTTTTTTCATGTCACACAATTATTGTAACTTAACATTTCAAATGATGGAACTCAAATCATTCTATTAAAATTTTTCATACAATACTTGAAACATCAATGCTCTTTTTAGTGCATTTCTGTTATCTACCAAGAGATGGAAGCATTATGCAATAATACATGCAGGCCCAGAGCTGCGCTATTAACAGAATTATGAAGCACGTCACTTACGTAATTTGAAATATTCTAGGATCCCTATCAGCCGTCTGTGCTTTCACACAGGCACAAGGGGGCTCTGAAACAATGCTGAGTGAATCGCGCAACCACCACCAAGGTGTACAGAAAATCAGTCTACTTGTTCTCTCTACACATATATCGTTTTTTACTTTAAACACAAAACTGTTTTAACATTCCAGACTAGGGCTTGGCAAACTCCACCCACTGCTGCAACCTCTTGGTTATGTCACTGCAGGACAGGTTCCAATAAAACTTTATCTGCAGCACTCGGCAGCGGGCTGGAAGTGGACTGCAGACTGAGGTTGGCCAGCAACAGCGAGGGTGTACTGCTCGGCAGGTTGCAATGACAAACGAGCTCCTGTGTTTTCCTCGGACCTCTGTCCACGTAACTGTTGCTCTCTAAGAACATCACACGGAGAGACATAAGTAGGTCATGACAACAACAGCACGCTTTGTGGACTTTTGTCCCTGAAGGTTAAATGGCAGTTAGCCTTTACTTTCCTCCTTTCTCTACACCAGTAAGGTCAGAGGCTTGAAAGGCCAGAAGTCTCAATCCTGGCACCAATCTCTCTCGTCAACTACATACACCCTGGACTTCACCACTGCGCCACAGCCCTAGTTTACCTGCCGATGGGAGGAAACATTACAAGTATGAAGTACTGGTGGATGTGAAAGGACACTCCTCCTCCTCGTGGTAATAGCAGCTAACACCTGGGTCGGGCACCGCAACAACTCACCTAATTCTCACAACTCTGTGGTGCACGAACATGTGTACTTCCCAGACAATGGGACAGCGAAAGCGCAGCGCAGTTCAAGGCCGTGCAGGCAACCATGGCAGCCTGGGGCTCAGACCAGCCCGTCCAGCTGTGACACCCAAGGACATTGCCACACTCTACTGCCTCAGACAAAATGATGGTATTATCCTCCACAAAGACCCACACAGCCTGAAAATATACAGAAACCTGGAAAGAGATTTTTACCAAGCTAGACGTCTTTACACTCTGAACTGAAACTTCTCTCACAGAAGGCAAGTCATTTTGTATCGCTTCTATAAAAAGGAAATTTAACTAACGTTTATAAAACAAAGTCACCTGTACAAACAAAGTAACAAAAAGTAAAAACCTGTGTGAAGGTCCTGCAGCGTTTTTACACGAGGGTTTTCCAGCTATCAATGCGGAGCGCCCCGTGAATGGAAACGCCAGCCGTGTGGGTGTGGACTTCCATGTTCACTCAGGAGAAGTGCAACCTTAAAGCGACCAGCACTACTTTACATCCTGTCTACAGGCGGGTGACTGCATTTTCAGGATTTAAGTCCCCAACGTGAAAATGTGGGAAGAATATGGAGATTGCCGGTCTTCGGTAGTGGCAAATACTACCTTTTATTCAGCACACGCCACGTGTTCTAATCAGAAGTTCCTAAACCTGGAAGTTCACGGAAGAGGATGACACCAGAAACTTAAACAAACAGGCAAGTGTTCCTTGCCTGTATGTCAGATGAACTGAGAACAGGGCCCAGGATTATTTTCATTAAAAAACTGCATATAACTAGTGTTACCCATGAGAACACTTGATGTTCCCAAGAAAAATAAAACATCCTACTATAATATGAAACAAGTTGATTGTTTTTAAAAACATCTTCAACTTTCAAGTTGACGTCGCAGATGCCAAGTGTTTAGGAAATCTAAATGAAAAGGAGATGTCAAGATCAAAATGAACTTTCTAAGATTTAGAATTTGCTTAAGATAAAAACAAGTGGCCAAATTTCTCTCTCTCTCTCTCTCTCTCTTTCTTTAACAGGCAACTCCTGCCCAAACTGCTTGACCAGTGTGGCTCCCAGAGGAGAGAAACACGCAGGGTTGGGGCCGCGCCCCAAGTGACCAAGGGTGCTGGGCGCGCTGCGGGGTCTGTGCTGTGGCGGCAGGGCCAGAGGGCCACCACAGAGCCTGCAGCAGGCCACCGTCCTTTCCACGATAAGCCACTTCTACACGTAACACACTGGACTTGGAAAGAAAATCATTAAAACCAAAAAATAAAAACCAGGGTTAATGTGATTTGTGAATCTAAAATTTGAAGTGTGGAGAAAATCAGCTTCATGCACACCAAAACACAGCAGTATACCGCGACCGTTTCCCAACAATCTCCAAGATACACTAGGCACCTCTGCTTCCTCCATTTGCCGCTCCCTTGCCTCCTCACCTCTTTGCCCTGTGGTCTGTCCTTGGCCTTCTCTCCACCCTGTTTCTCCCAGCACAGTAAGTGTCATGCCTTGGGGTGACACCTCTATGCAGGCAAGTCCCCCACCACTAACACTAATCCTAAACTGGTCAGCCCTGCACTCGAATTTCCAAGTGTCTCCAGAAGACCCCCACATGGACTGCTGTCAAACCACAGGTCTGCCGCTGGCCTACACAGCCCTGGGTGTGCCCAGAAACTGTGTGTAAAACGCTACATGTATGTGTGCATGTGCATTTTTCTGGAGATAAGGGTCACCACTCTCAGGACTCAAAAGTGTGTGTGACCCCAAAGACAACGTCAGCTCAGGTAAGCCATGTGCCACTAGCACAGCAGACCCTTCGGCACAAACTCTGGTATATTCTTAAAAGGGAAAACAACGTCCAGGTTCATCGGTCCAGTGAAGGGCCCCCGCTGCAGTCGGCTCTCCCGAGCAGTGAAGCACAGAAGTTCACTGGCCTCTTCCAATGCAATGGGTCAGGGTCAGCAGAGTGTAGCTACAGGCCAGCTTGTTACAAATAGAGCTTTACCGGAACACAGCCATGCCTGCTCATTTCCACACTGTCTCTGGTTACTTCTGTGCTACAAAGACAGAGCTGAGCAGTGACAAGAGAGTGTATGGTTCATGTGCCTAAGATATTTACTATTTGGCCCTTTCAGGAAAAGTCTGACTGATCTCTTTCTAGATAAGAAATACCTACACTGATAAAGAAAAATAGACGTGCTCTTCCAAAGAAAACAATCAGAAGAAAATCTATCCTTGTAGTTTTATTTGTAAGCAGGACCACAGACACACACCAAGCCCGTGGGCCTACTTTGCTGTGAACTGATGGTGTGATTACCTGCCGGTGCTGGGCTGCTGTGGAGAATGTCTGGAGTGGTCAGAGGGCTCCGACCGCTGGTCAGGGGACCGTGACCGGCTGTGGCGGGGAGGCCTGTCATGTGACCGACCAGAATGATCTGACGCCAGTGACTGAATTTCTGAAATGTCTGTGAAATAAAATAAGAGAGTGCCATTTATTTTCCCATGAGATGAGTATCATAAAATATTATATAAGGCATTACTTCAGTAACAATGGAGATAAGAGACTAAATATAATTTCATGTAAAAGGGTTGATTTAAGCAGTAACTTCATTAGTCACTGATCAAGAGTGGTGTGCTGTCCACAGGAAACCATCTATGTCGTGACAACATGGACGGACCTTGAAGGCATTCGTTAAGTGAAAAAAGCCACGCAAATACTGTCTAACCTCACTTATATGTAGAGTCTTAAAAACAAACCCCACGAAACCCATAGAAAAAGAGATGAGATTAGTGGTTACCAGAGCTGGGGGTGGGAGGAGGGAGGAAGGTGGTCAGGAACCTCTGCAAACCTCTGGTTAGAAGGTAGGTAACTACAAGAGGTGTCCCTGTATGACACAGTGCCGACGGGCAACCCCACGGAACAACACACAGGGAGTCTCAGCAGCTCCAAAAGTTCTCTTTACAAGGAGAAGCCTGTCTTCCCTTTTTTATTGGATCTAGAGGATGAGGGATGTTAACGTACTGTGGGAATCACGTCACAATATATGCAAATCAAATCATCATGCTATATCCCTTAAACTTACTCAGTGACATGTGCTTATTATTTCTCAATAAAGCAGGAAAAAGTGAAATTAACCACACACGTTTGTAATTCTTGGATGCTGAGGGTGGCTTGGATGAAGAAACCATCTCGCTCCAGCACGTCCAACCTGCTGGCACTATAAGAAGGGGTCCCTTTCAGGACCCTGCCCCTCAGAGTGGCACTCACCATCTCTCTCGGAGGCGTTGGCAGAGTGGACGCTGTCGGACAGGTCAGGGACGTTCAGCAGGGTGGCCCGCTCGTCTCTCTGAACCACCATTTTTAACTTGCCCTTTGACCTTTCTATCAACGTCTTTGCGTCTGTCAATGACATGTTTTCTGTCACGGTACCATTTATCTGCAACAGAAAAGTACAGGGTGACAGTGTACGACACAAACACAGATGTTCACATAAGTCTATGGTGAACAGGAACAGCTACACTACTCCCTGCCTCGCTGTAAAACACAGCACATTCTCTTCACACTTCCCTACATAAGCAAAGTCTTCCTCCTTCCTGAAATAATCAAATCTCGACTGAACTTTCTGTGTCAGAAAACCCAAACTAGCATCCCCCATCCCTCCCCCACTAGCCTGTCACTTCCTATTAGTTAAATGTAAATTAACAAAGTAAACATTTCAACAGTATCTAGAGCAGCTGTCAGAGCCACTTATTGTATAAGAAACATATCTACAAAGCAGCTCCTACTCGTGACTGATATACATCTGCAGCAATCAATTCTCTGGGGAGGACTCTAAGCCATAAAGCAAGGCATCAGTGGTGACAGAGACAAATGGACCACGGAAAGTTACCCAGCCCCCAACACTGATTTTTCGTTCTTTTTGGAAACTTGCTTCAAATGTGAGCAGAAGCTCTATGGTCCCATTAGAACATGTTTTCTGTTTATTAAAACTCAAGAATAGGAGTGTATACCTTTAGAACAACATCGCCTTCTTGGATGTTGCCGTCTCTTGCTGCCAAACTATCTTGTGAAATTTCCTTTACAAATATATGGCTGGCCAACCGAAGACCGTATTCTGAAATAACACATTTAAATGTCCTTAGTGTAAAAATCCTAAGCACTTCAATAGAGTTGCAGGACGAACAATCACGGCCGGAAGAGCTCCGAAGCACAACCTGGGACGAGGCTGTTCTTGGCCCCCACAGACACGAGTCCCTCCCATCACCAGCACGCCTGCGGAGTCCCAGGAAAACCACGTGAGACTGACACGCCAGGCCCCGCTCTCCGGACTGAGGACAAGCCCCGAAGAGAAGGCCATTTCCGTCCAACCAAGTTGTGCTGACACACTAGCTTCTCAGAAGCTTTAATGACTAATTCTAAAAAGGAAATCGGTCAGGCTCTGGACAAACTCTGGAAAGGTGGACAATTCTAGTGCTGACGGGCATTACCAAGCATAGACTGTTTTTGTTTCCCAGCTCCTGCGGCAGAAGCCTTTCCTTCCCACCCCACACACCTGCAGCACTAGGGAGACATGCCCAAGAGTGCTGATCGGCACGCGCTACCCTCAGCGGAGCAAATGAAGGCAACACCCAGCCAGGGGGGTCTGGGCTGCAGTTAAAAGTGCCACTCCTTTCCTCCGACAACCCACCAAGCAGCCAAGAATGAGGCCACAGTGACTGCGTCCATGGGTGAGGGCGCTGGTCAGAGTTGAGGAAACTACCAGGAGAATCCAGAAAACTGTCCAGAACGATGACTGCAACCTAATGTCAATAGGAAAAGGATGCTTCCAGTCTGCCAGGAGGGAGAAAAGGACTCTGAGTCTTACCGTATTTAAAACAAAACAGAAACCAAGATTGGAAACATAAAACCTTTTAAAATGAGGTAAGAGACCTGCTACTCAAGCTCATCAAAGTTCTACCAGGTAGTTTAACTTATGGGAAATGTACGCAGAATGCTGCCAGCAGACACAGAATCAGGGTGAGAAAAGGACTATCTAGGGGACCCAGGCAACCGACCACATGCTTCCGAAATGGCTGTTATACCACACAGGAGTACGGAGAAGACTGTCCATATTCAAGATTTAAGTTATAAATGATCGATACAGAGATGACTCCCAAATATTCCTTATGTAGTAGTAATTTATTCACTTATTCCGAGGAATCCCTTGTGTAAAATATGGAACTGTGGCTAAAAGGCAGCAAATGAGACACAACAGCTGCACCCTGGTGAATTCCACGGTCAGCAGGGGGAGACCTCAGCACAGCAGTTAGCAGTGTGGGCAGCGGGCAGCACAGGTCTCCCGTCTCACAGGGTTCCGGGAAGGTCCCCTCCACGGAGGACTACTGTCCTCAAGCCAAAACTGTACCTGAGAGATACTCAAGGGGAAATACACCAAACCTGGAGGCTGAGGTGCATGTGTGTGCATATATGTATGTGTGTGTGTGTGTGTGTGTGCTGTGGCATGCGTGTGTGGTGGGGAGGTGGTAAAGACAGATGGGTACAAACAAATGCACCAGAACACATGAAGAAAAGCCTTAGGTCTGCTGAAGTCATAGGGCAGGGCAGCTGGGACTTAGAAGTCATGAGAGAGAGAGAAATGGATAGATAGATAGATATGAAAGGGTAAGTGTAGCAGAGGATCACCTTTGTGGACAAGTCTGCAGAACCCACTAAAAGGGATCGAGAGACTAGTTTATGAGACAGGACAAGCCCACCAAAGAAATGATGGTGCTCAACACAGAGACACACCTGCACACGTGATAATTGTGAGACACCAGGTATGTTCATTAACTTGACTGTGATCACTTCTTAAGGCACACATACACCAAACCATCATGTTGTGCACCTTGAGATACACAATTTTATAATTTATATATAATATCCATTATGCCTCAATAAAGCTGGAAGAAAAGAGAGGACACTATCCTGGAGGAGGGTGGTGGCAGAGGAGAGAGGCAGAGTAGGGCTGTTAAGAGTGGTGTTTAGGAAGCCGGGACGTATTAACTGGGCGTAGGACAGTGAAGGGAAAAATGTCGAGATTAACTACCACATCACCTGTGACAGGCTTGAGACACCAGGTAGCTGGGAATATATTTAGTGAAGTGAGCCACAGGAAAGACTAAGAAACACTCTAAGAGGGAGAGTGAGTTTCACTGGAGGTGTGCTGAGTCTGGGGACCTACGCAGACACCTGGAGGACACGGCCAGCAGTCAGCTGGCTCCCAGGTCACACATGTAGGCTCGGGCAGAGAAGTCCTGTGTTGCCGTTCTCGGCAGCTGGGACAGAGACAGCCTAGAGAGGCTCTGTCAAGTGGAAAAGATTCCAGAACAGAAATCTAAAAACACTGAAAGGTAGGATGAGGAGAATGAGCCTTCCAAGGATACAAAAAAAGGAAGGACCCCAAAAGGATGCCATATCAAAGAAGCCAAGAGATGACATTAAGCAGGGAGCAGTGAGTGCACAACACAACTGAAAAGGCAAGTGAAGTAAAGGCTGACCATTCCCACCGGTTCAGCACAAACAGTTTAGGGAACAGCACAGAACAGACCGAGAGAGGGGCGCAGAGGGAGTGTGAGATGCAGAGTGTGACTCAGGAGGAGGAAGACCCAGGAAGGGGTGCGTCAGGCAGGGTCTGGCAAAGGAGATCAAGGCGAGCCTTTGAGTATTCTTGCTGTAACACCTCGCCGTCAAAATGATGGGTCATAAACGCTTTCCACTGGCCAGATGTGCCCATGGCAGAAAGAGGCCACAATTCATTTCCAGCAAATGTGACTGAGAGGAGGCAGCTGGCCTTCACTTCCAATTGTTTTGAGACCTGCATTACAGAGAAATGCCCTACAAGGGGCTCCTTCCCCCCAATCTCTCTTCATTTTAAAAAACACTTGCCACCCACCCCACCTCCAATACACAAGATTTCTCCCCAAGGTTCTGCTACTACTTAACTGATCCTAACAGCTAAATAAAATACTACATTTCAACTTGGTCACAGTGTGATCTTCCTTGTTAGCCTGATTTGTACTTGGCTGTTCTAATCACAAGAAATCCAAAGTCCAGCCATGGACAATTTATCTGAAGTACTGTCTGCTACACAGAACGATTCCAGAGGAGAAAACAGGTGATTTCCGAAGCCTGATGTAACAGGAGCTGCCTTACAGCAGCAGGACACGAGAAGGAAGACAGCAAAAGGCAAAGAAAGCAGACACATGGAGCATGGGACGCTGACTTCCACTGCAGGCAGTGTTAAGCTTTCCCCGTGCAAACGACCACCAGGCTGGTGCAGAATACCTTCATTCTTCCGGGATTTCACCAGCGTGACTTTGGTGGGCTTGGCAGGCTGGCTGGACGCCACAGACCTCCTATCAGAGCGTGGAGACAGACTCCTCTCCCTACTTGCGCTTCTGTCCCTCGCCCAGCTCTTTTCGTTCCTTCTGTTGCCTGGCCCCCCACGGCCACTCCGTGGGTCGTGTGCCTCCTCATCATAACTGTCTTCTTCATTCTCCGATGCCGGTTCAGGGTCAGGACGACTGACAGGTATCTGAACTTTCTTCTTCCTTCGAATAGTCTACAAGTAAAAGCAGATTATAAAAGAAGCTGATTGGTTTGCATATTATAGGAGCCTTCAGGTCTTAAGAGAAAGGAAAATTACATTTTTCTGGTGCCACATTAATTAAACCAATTATAAATCACAGATATACTGCACAATTGTAACAAATTACTAAGGAATACATTTCTGTAATGGCTGGGTTCTCTGCTCTCCTGATCAACAGGGCTGTTTAAGAGCCAAATTTGGAATAGTGGGTTGAATGAAGTCCTTACTTTAACTAACTCAGAAAGATCTTTCAAGTGTACTATCACAAGCTTAAAGGAAAACTAACAATTACTGGTGGTTTCAATAAAAAATGGGGCACTATACTCCAATACCAAAAATATACTGTAGCTGCTACCAAATCAGATCAGACTTGCAAGCCCAACTTGATTTTTTAAAAATCTGAGAATCCCAGCCCTGGCTGGTGTAGCTCAGTGGACTGAGTGCAACCCTGCGAACCAAAGCATCGCTTGGTTTGATTCCCAGTCAGGGTACATGCCTGGGTTGCAGGCCATATCCCCAGTATGGGGTGTGGTAGAGATAACCACACACTGAGGTTTCACTCCCTCTCTTTCTCCCTCCCTTCCCCACCTCCCTAAAATAAATAAATAAAATCTTTAAAAAAAAATCTGAGAATCCCTTGCTATCAGGGCCCATGATGATCCTGCTGGACCTCAAAGAGACCATTTTACTTCTACCCCCACACTAACAACCGACTTAGCGTGCTGGAGCTAACACCCCGTCACACCGCACCAACACAAACTGCTGTGCGTCCCGCATCCCTCCGGTCTGTGATTTCTAGTCTACGTGTCCATTGCTTCTTCAGGTTTTGTTTCCTCAATGACTCTAGTAACTGGTTCAATTTTCCCTGTCCACGTATTTCCTTCACTTTCTGTAGTTCAAGATCTACATGCATGACTTCCTGATTAAGTGGCCTCCCGTGCCTGGTCTGCACTTGGCTTCCTCACACTGAGCCACACCGGATCTCATCAGGGGTCTGAGACCTTGGGTATCACTCCTTGTCTTTCACCTCTGACACCCCCGACTCCTGAAACCTTTCCCTATCTGTCTCATTTCCGATCCCTCCGTCCTCTCCTGTTCCCTCAGCCCGTCAACCCCCCCTCCTTGTTTCAACGCCTCCCACGGTGGCAGGAGATGTCACATACGGTATTTAAGTGGCTTCCTCCTGACCCTCAGTCGCCTGCCATGACAAACTCCAATCCTCAACTACCTTCCCCCTCGGATGGCTGCATTTCCACACTTTGCTGATTGGCTCCTCTACAAATTCACTGTACTTGACAGGATTCTCCATACCTCCAAAATGTTGAGCTCTTTTGTTTTTCCCCTCTAAATATTCAGTAGACATACCCCACATGGACAACAAACCCAAGAAAATTGTATTTCTATACCCTAGGCTTTCCCATAGAAATGGTGATGTAGGGCATAGGTCTAAAACCTGTAATGCATTTGGAATAGTACGTGTAAGAAGGATCTGGGGAGGCTCAAAGAATAGATTTTCCTCTGTATCAGCTGGAAAGGTAGAACTCTGGAAGCTTGGTCAAGTATTTTTTGCTCTGGGGGCGCCACAGGTAGGTTGGGTAGAAGGATGTTTTAATCAGTAGAAAATAGTTTCTACTGTTCGTTTCTACACTGAGAGAGACTGGATCACATCATTAATTTATGTTAAGTTTTCACTGCCATATGATGTATAGAATAGAACCCCAGGGTGGCCTTTCATTGTAAGATGTCTTTCTTAACTTATCCCTGGCTACCACCAGAACCTCAAGGCCCTTATAGACGGGCTTTGGTTTTTAAGTTCTGAATAACCAGCTTCCCCTCCCCCTCCCTGGCCTACTAATCTTTCTTCTTCCCTGTGCTCTTACATTATAATGGTGGTTTATTGATATAATTATTCTCGTAACCTTAGAGCCCTTTGGGCATTAGGCTCAGTAAGAGACTTCTTTTCCACTGAATTAAAAAGTTAGTACTTCTTCACTAATATAACTACCGTAAATACGCTTAATTTTGTTGTAATGATAGGTGAATACAGAAATAGATATTGCTTATAACACAGTGAGCATGTGTACTTTTACTAAAATTCTGAACATACTAAAAAGAATTACGATGCAAATGAATGGGCCCAACTCCTTCCTAGAGATGACATCTCTGTGAACAGGTCAGTGTGTGTGCATGTGGCGGTGCACACATGTGGCGGTACAGCAGCTCACTGGGCTACAGGCACTGCCCACGCCAGTCATGGCGGGCGTCTTGGGGTCTGGTCTTCAGAGTAACTTATCGGGAACGGCTTTGTGCAGTCAGAGGATGTGAATGACTGCTGATGCATGGAATGCCACATTGCCCTTCAGAAAACCAGTAGGGCATTTAGATTCTAACTTCATCAACACCCTTTCATCTTTGCCAAGTTGAAAGTCTAAGCATAATACTGCAAATGAGATAGTTTAAAATTGCAAGTGAGTTTGATCATCTCATAGTGTATACATAGCCCATTTGTGTTTTTTCTTTACTTATTTGTATCCTTCGCACTTATATTGTGAAGATTGGCATACCAGAGTGCTGTATTGTTATAGCCCTTGTCTGTCCAGAAGGTAACCAGCCATGTGACATGAAAAAGAAACATACGTTGAAGATACAAGATACAAGAAACACTGTACACAGGACAATGATACCCAGTCCCCCTCGAAGTAGGCAGCTTGGGAACTCACAGTTGTCCTAATTGCCATTAGCTGCCCCCTTGTACTTTCCTGAATCTCATCAATGGTCTGAAATCCCTGCCCTTTCAAAGGTGATTTTACTTTTGGGAAAAACCAGAAGTTGCAGGACGCCAAATCTGGGCTGTAGGGGGGCTGAGTCACCTCAGTGGTTTGACGTCCACCAAAAAAGTCTGCACGAGAGATATGCTGCGTGAGTGGGTGTGCTGTCGTGATGAAGCTGCCAATATCCAGTTGCCCATAACCATGGTCTTCTGCATCATCTGAATAGTTTCCACGGAGGAATGTTCAAACTTCATGCAAAATCTGATGCAGATTCACTGCTCTCCTCGTTCAGTCACGCTGACTGCGACGGCCACACGGCACAGCTCCTCACTCAATGGCGTGTACTGTCCCCACTGACTAGTACAGTGAAGTCATCATTGTTCACACACACACATTCTAGTCCACTCTCCTTGGTTGCCAGGTTACATCCTTGTCACACAAATTGTTCTCATTATATTAACAATGGCTGGACTTTTACTGAACAAACCACATAGACTGCATGGGTACTTTGCCCATTTGCTTTTGTGAGTATGTCTAAGTTGTTTGTGGTCATTTTTTGTTTTTTGAATCATTTTGTTTGAAATGGGAGTTTTTCAATTTTCATGTTGTCCTGTCACTTTCACTTATATGGTCCTACCTTTGGCATTATGTTTATAAAGGCATTTACCTTGATAGAATTATAAAAGCATATACCCTGTATTTTATTCTCATAATTGCATTTCACTGTTTTATTTTATACTGAGTCTTTCATTCAAATAAACTATTTTGAACTAGGTATTTTTCCCCCTAAAATCTGCTTCAAAATTTTAAGTGTTAACACCCAGCATCACTGCCACATCTGTTAACTGTGACAATGAGAGTAGGGGGAGCTCACAGCCGCATACAGAGGGAGAACACCTGATTCACCCAAGCTGCTCGCCTTGGAATGCACAGCCACCATCTGAAAATACTGTGAGTAATGATGATAATGCCAAGATCAGTAGCTAAGTCAAGAAAGCTAAAGCTTATTAGATTTATAGAAATTAGCAATATGCTCCTGTAAATACTAAGCTATGTTACAAAACTGTTCAGAACCTCTACCACCCACTAGACAGTCTGCAGGTGCACTGCAGTTTGAAAATCGCACTGACGGCCAAAAATGCAACTATATGAGGCTGTAGGAATGTGTTCGACAGGGGACGTCTCTCACTCAGAATGCACTGACTGAACACCAGCACCACTGGGATGTGGGAAACACGGCACCCACGCTGGGCAGCACCCTGTGCAGACGAGAGGCCCCCAACTGTGGGGTGCAGTCCCAGGAAGCACGGCAGCTCACCCCCCACAGCTCCCAGAGGTCAAAGCACAAGGCACTCTCCTCCCTCCCTCCAGTCTCTCCTTTCTACTGGGTTCTGAGTGTCCACTGGGAAGTCGAAGGTCATCAATGGACAAGGCAGGACAACCACCTAGCTGCCAACCTCCTCCTGCTCTGTGCCCCAAAGCTGAGGCCCCAACAGTGCCCCCTGCAGTCCCTTCAGAGGCCACATGGGGCAGAAATGGGGATGAGCAAATTGGGCAAAGCAGCTACCGCGCTTCTGATTGTGGATGGCATTTTAAATACAACCTTTACATCACATCCGCCTACTTTACTTCAGTTTGGAGGCCAACATCAACAGTTAATGGAACTTCTTTTCCCTTACTTAAAAAGAATATTCTCAGAGAAACACAAAGTAGAAGAGCCTACCTATAGATTGAAACAATGTCATCAAGTGCACCCTGAAAAACTCTACAAAGAAACTCTTACCACTCCCTCCCCCCTCAAACTGCACAGTGACTGGGAAAGTAGCTGATGGCGCATGTGTCCGAGGGGAATGGAGATCCTGCCCATTCAACACACCCTTTCACAGAACAGAGCGCTCCAGGGCAGGACAGGAGCAGGTTTACAGCTGGCAGTATGTGAAATACAATTTATTCTTATCTCATCCTTTTATTAATTATTGTATCACTTCCCATACGAACAACTGTAAACCTCCTTTTTCCTGCCCTTTATATTTCAAACAGACTACACGCCAACATTCACTCCAACTTAAGGACCTAAAGAGAAGGAAACTGCTGTGGCTGGTGTAGCTCAGTGGACTGAGCGCAACTGAGCACAGGCCTGTGAACCAAAGGATCGTGGTTCAATTCCCAGTCAGGCCACATGCCTGGGTTGCATGCTAGTTCCCAGCAGGGAATGCACGAAAGGCAACCATACATTGATGTTTCTCTCCCTCTCTTCCCCCTCTAAAGATAAATAAAATCTTTTAAAAAAAGGAGGGAGAAGGAAACCTTAAGCCATAGAGAGGCAAGTAACCATTGAACTCAGCCATCCCTCTCCTTTTTCAACTAAAAAAATCCCGGTATCTGAACTTTGGAAAAATAAACACACCAGCAACAAAATACACCGCCAGTATCAGGGGGGAAAAACACTCTTATAAAGATAACTTCAGAACTCCTGGCCCAGATTTCACTTTCTTACAGAGAATGATACATCCAACACCAGGAACGTTACCAACAATAAAGCTGGCACCTTTACTAAATCAGAGGTAAAGGAGACTTACAATTTTTGCATTCTTTCCACTTTTCCTTAGTTGCTGAACAGCAAAAGCATGTTCAACGTTATCCATTGAAACTCCATTAACCATCGCAACACGGTCATTTTCCCTAAGGAAAGAAGTCACAAAAACATGTTAAAGAGAAACATACAGATAAGTTTGTGAAGATATTTTCAACATGAGTATCTGTAAAAGATATTCTAGCCCTGGCTGGTGTAGCTCAGTGGATTGAGCGCGGGCCTGTGAACCAGAGGATTGTGGTTTGATTCCCAGTCAGGGCACATGCCTGGGTTGCAGGCCAGTTCCAGCGAGGGACACACGAGAGGCAACCATACAATGATATTTTTCTCCCTCTCTCCTTCCCTTCCCCTCTAAAGATAAATGAATAAAATATTTTTTAAAAATTCTAATTATGGGGTGATTAATCTATTTGCCTTCAGATCAATGATGAAATGTCTATTTACTTTCAGATCTCCCACAAGCACATTTAGCAAGTAAGTAACTAACCACAGATCCATTGACTTTTTAAAATCATTAATGTTTCCCCAAAGGACTGAACAGATACCACGATATACAAAGTAATTCTAGTGGTACAAGTACAGGGCATTAAGTGATACTGTGTCATAAAGCTGAAAATTAAAAATGTTTTTCTCCATTCAACATAATAAATCCTTTCCAATTTCCTTTTAGCCCTTCTGATGCTACTCTTACATTTTTGCTAATAATGTATCTTTGCTTCTTTTTATTTGATAATCTTACTGAACAAGGGCAAAACTCCAGATGAGAGGCTCCTGAAGGCTAAATTCTACCCCGAACTGAATAGGGTGCTCTGGTCCCCATCTTTCTTCTGACAGGGACCTTCTTTGTACGGTAAGTACACTTACTTCCCACCTCACAGTTGAGGTAAGAATAAATGTGCACGAATGCAAAGGCCTCCCCAAGCAGCCATGAAATGAACAGTGTGCCAGTGGCCTGCGCCCAGGGCCTGCCCCCAGCTGCTCCGGGGGAGGACACCCACTTACTGCAGCTGCCCCTCCGCTGGGCCCCCTTTCAGCACGTCGGATATGACGATTGAGGTTTCCCCACTCTGAAAATGGGGGTTATCTCTTCCACCAGATATTGCAATTCCAAATCCGAATCCAGGAGCCTGGAACAATAATTACAGTAAAATGTTACTATTAAGAAAAATAACTGTTCATTGTCATACTCTGCAAACTACAAACACTGAAATAGAAACACTACAACCTCGTTACATCTGTGACACACACACTCACCTATAAGACTATACAACGAAATGACCTATCCTGGTGTGGAAATGCATGTCTCTAATAAAGTAAATGACACAAGACAATAGTAAAAACTGCCAATCACATGAATGTTCTTAAAGAACTAACATATGTTTTAACGTTCTGACACTGAAATGCTGAGTTGTCGCTCTGATTAGCAAAAGGGTTCCTTCCTAAGGGGCCTGGCAGTGCCCAATGTGATCCACCACACACAGGCCACTAACACACAGAGTGATGGCCTTCACTTGTACATACAGTGGTGCCACTTTACACAATAGAACACCAACAGCTGTGAAAATCAAGTGCTATATCAATTTCCTTCAATTATGCCAAAATCTCTTTAGAACTCATACGCTATGTTTTATGCACATTGTGTATACCACGAAGAACATAGTAATCATATCAAACATTTTAAAGTACACTTTTAATTAAAAATTATAATAAAATGTATACTTCTAAATGAATTTTAAAATCTTTACCACAACAACTAAGGACTGCCCTGCAACTGAAAGAATTCAAAATATTTTCAGGTTATTTAAAAAATTACCTAATCTCAGAGAAATCCTGACCATCCCCTAGAGAGGAATGAAGAATTCAGAGTAGCCTAAAGAAACACCAACTTCCCTGCAAGCACTAAACCAGATAAGGTTTTTCTACCAAGCACTCTACACGCCAAAGCACCTGAGGACAAAGGCCATCTAGTCGACCACAGAGGAGACCACACCCAAAGGAGACTGGGCTTGTGTCACAACCTTCACTTCCAGCCCAAAGCCTACTGAAGTGACAAAAGAAAAAACTCTTCTTAAAGAAGAACACCAGCAATTTCACTCCTATATGCCCAAGAAAAATGAAAGCATGTTTCTACACAAACACTTACACCTACATGTTCATAGCAGCATAATTTACAGTAGCCCCACAGTAGAAATAACCCAAATGTTCAACAACTGATGAATGGATAAATTAAATGTGGTATGTTATTACAATGGAATATTATTTGCAATAAAAAATGAAGTATTAATACACGCTATGAAATATATGAACTTTGAAAACATGCTATAGGAGAGAAGCCAGTCAGTCATAAAAGACTCTGTGTAGTATAATTCAATTCACGTGAAATGTTCAGAACAGACAGATCCACAGACACCACAAACAGAATGAAACCAGACCACTACCCTACACCACACAAAACGCAGGACCTGCACCAGTAAAACACAGAAGAAAGCACAGGCACTAAGCTCCCTGACACCGGTGTTAGCAATGTTTTTATTGCAAGGGAGACAGAAAGTAAACACATGGGACTTTACCCAACTAAAAAGATTCTGCATGGCAAAGGAAATCATCAATAAAATGAAACAAGAACCTACTGAATAGAAAAAGATGTTTGCAAATAATACATATGATAAGAAGTTAATATCCAAAATATATATATATATATTTTTAAAAGCTTCATACAACTCCATAACAAAAAGCAATCCAATTAAAACAATGGCTGAGGATCTCAACAGACATTTTCCCAAAGACGACACACAAACGGCCAACAGGCTCATTAAAAGATGTTCAACATTACTAATTACTAAGGAAATGCATATCAAAACTACAGCGAGTTTTCACTTCGCACCTGTTAAAATGGCTGTTACCAACAAGACGAGAAACAACAAGTGCTGGAAAGGATGTGGAGAAAAGGGAGCCCTTGTGCACTGTGGGTGGGACTGTGAACTGGTGCAGCCATCAAGTAAAGCATTTATGGAAATTCCTCAAAAGATTAAGAATAGAACTACCATATGATCCAGCAATGCCACTTCTGAATAGCCAAAGAATTTAAAAACACTAATTAAAAAGTTGTATGTACCCCCATGTTCACAGCAGCAGCACTATTCACAATGGTGAAGATAGGACAACAACCTAAGTGCCCATCGAGGGATGAATGGGTAAAGAAGCCACACACACACACAATGGAACACTATACTTAGCCATAAAAGAGACAAAACCTTGCCATTTGTGATAACACAGCAGATCTCGGGGGTATTATAAGTGAAATGAGCCTAATGGAGAAAGACATACTGTATAATTTCACTCATACATGGAATATTAAAACAAAAACAAACTCACAGATATAAATAACAGACTGCTTTTTACCAGAGGGGCAGGGGTGGAGGGAGGACACAACAGGTGAAAGGGGGTCAACTGTATGGTGGTGGATGGAAACCAGACCTTGGGTGGTGAGCACACTGTAGTGTAATACAAATGTGGAATTACAATGTTGCACACCTGAAACTTATATAATGTTATGAACCAACATTACCGCAATAAAAATAAACAAAAGACAATGAAACAATTTACCAAAGCCACATGAGATGTTGAAACTCATAGTCAGAGAAATTCCAATTGAAAGCACACAGAGAATGGTAAGAATCAAAAGCCAAGGCAACACCTTTTGTTTGGGGGGGGCTGCAAAGAAGTGGGCACTCTCATAGCCTGCTGATGGGCACAGAAGGGTCCACAGCTCTTTAGGAGAGAAATGTGGCAATACCTAACAAAATTACAATACTCACCTTTTGACAGTATAACCCAAAGACATATACCTCTAACAATATGAAAACCCACAGGCACACAATTTATTGCAGACTGTTTGTCAGTGCAGATACTGGGGGAAAAAAGCCCTAAATGCCCAGGGTTGTGGACAAGGGGACTGTTCTCTCCTGTTCTTTTGCTTTTCTTTTATTCCATACATGGGTATAACCCTGCATTTACATCTGGCCCAGATCACTGCCTCCATGCAGCTCCAGCACTGAGTAGGGTGTGAAATCTGCAGAATCAGTGTTTGCTGCAGCTCTTTTAACAACTACCCAGAAGTCTGGTTTCCTACCCTGGCTGCAGAGAATTATCGCTGTGGAACAGTTTCAGAAATGCTCGCTGGTGTCTGAAGCCCAGCCCCATACCCACTAAACTAGTGACTGTCACAGGCACCCAGGGCCCAGAACCTCAGCCTTAAATGTGTTGTGAACAGCAGAGCAGGGCAGTGACCAAAACTTCAAAGGGTTCAACCACTCCACATTTCCCACCCCTCCGATGTCTTTCATCTGGTCTTTACAGAACACTGCTCACCTCCGCTACACTACGGTTTACCCTCCACCATGTCTGAAGGGTTCTTCTGAAACCCACCCGACCCTGTCATTCCACTGCCCAGAGATCCAAAATCTCTCAGTGTCAATCTCCTGAAACAGAACTCAAACTTGCTCCCTGGCACCCCTCTTTGCTGTTAACAACCTTAAGTCCAGATCCCTGCTTAAATAGCCCATGCAATACTAAGCTATACTTTTGTGTCTCCTCTAGGCCTAGGACTTCATTAGCACATCATCAGTCTTGCAAGCTTCAGCTTGGCCTTCAAATTCCAGGTTCAATGTCATCTCATTCATAAAACCATCCCAGCTCTCCTGCAAGCTCCCCAGAGTGCATGTACACACTTCAGCCACCTGACACATGGCAATGCCATTAAAGCCACCTGGGGGTCAAGGCTGCACTGGGGAAGGAGTCACATGTCATCTCTGTTTTCCAATAGGCGCACCCCTCCCCGAATGTGGGGGCCCAACACAAAGTGCTTTATCAAGGTTAGTAAACTAAAAACCAAGTCTTTTGTTTAAGTCAATTTCCCTTTTGAGAGTTGCCTTTTTTAAAACTAGCATTAATTAAAGCATTAACCACAGACTTCTGAAAAATCTGCAGCCATGGTAGTAGCACAGATTTGGAGCTTTCCTGAATTCCCAATAAATACAAGCAGGGCAACTACACAACAAACCAAACCTCCACAGCCATTTACAACAGAGCCAGATAAACAGGGTGCCCCCTCCAGGTGCAAGACGCAAGCAGGTGGGGACCAACCAACTAAGCATGAGACTTGATTGAGGAAAGCCCTAAGGTGTCTCACATGCCCGAGACCTGAGAACCCCAAATAACCAACTGGTCTTCCCTGGGAAGAAGGGCATGACACCTTGGGAAGGGCAGCTGAATTGGGAGGGGCTATGCCCGCTCCAACAGCAGGACACAGGAGGAGCCTGCAGGGGAGCCCAACTGCCCAGTGACCCCCAGGGAGTCCTCACTGCGGCTCTGCCAGCATGGGCCCCACAGAGGAGGCACTGCTGGCAGGGCACCGCACTTCAGCGGCACCAGAACAGCGGGGACAAAGTAAAGAGAGGAAAGTCCAAATAAAGTGTACACAGGGCCCGGAGACAGCCAGTGTCAGAAAGCAGCAGTATGATTTGTAGCACATGCACGAGCACGAACACAAACACACACATACCCCCCACACTAGGAAACTAAGCCAATTTCCAAAAACTCAAAGAAACTAATTTCACATAAAAATGAGCAGTATCAGGATCAAATCCCTTACAAAATTACTATAAAAAATAATGAGGGGTGGAATAATTTCCTTATAGAAAATGAAAGCATACCAGAATGAGTGCTCAAAAAAGGGGGAACAAAACTGTTACTATTACAAAACAAACTAAAAGGCATAAATATACAAAACATGAAACAACATAAATAAGAATTATAAAAACTCAGAAATGAGACGAAAGAATTCAAGAGCTACTAGAAATGTTAAACAGTGAGTTTTGATACAACACAAGACCAAATCGGCAAACGAGATAGATACAACCAACACATGGGAGCCCCTAAAAAACAAAACCATAGGAGAAAAAAATAAACAGTTAAAACTGTAACTAAGAAAATAAAAACAAAGTAATAGTAAAAACTAATTAGAAAATAGAAACTCTCCAGTGTCGTTCTTTAACTGAAACCACACCGCGCTCTAAGAACACACACATCACTGGAGCTGCCTGTTGTCTGAGAACGCCAGTTCACAGGGACTAGCACCAAGATGGACTCAAATAACATGAACAGATTTTAAAGAAAAAGTTTTTTTGATATCTAGGCAAGAGTTTTTAACTTATAAAAAAAGAAACTTAGATTATCATCACATCTGGGCAGCAACATGTTATGCCAAAGATAATATAGAGATACTCAAGGGAAACAGTGAGCCAAGGACTTTGTATCCAGTAAAACTGACCTTCAAATACAAAAGGGTACAGATAAACTAGTAAACTACCACTTCAAGGCAATCGGAGGCTCTGCACTGGACTTCCTGAAAGACTAAGGTGGCTGCCGTCCCAGGGAATTTTCAACAGACTTGTAAAATATTCTATTTTTTCCTCATGTATCTTGACCATACAAAATTTTTAATGTGTCAAGACCGTCGGTTTTTCTATGTTTCCATGAGAAGATGTCCCAGACAACGCTTATTGTTATGGAGTAGGGGGAGTGGTTTAAAGCCATAGGATATGATCACATTTGCTTGTATGTGCATGCACATATTATACGATCGTAGCTTCTGAACAGAAGGAAGTGCATCGAAGGATTTCCTTTCACCGTGTTTCTCCTTTCTGAGACTGTAAGAGCCAGAAGCAGCAGTGACTTCTGTGTTTGCATCTCTGCCTAAGAGTGAATTGAGTTTATGATCAACGAGACACGTGACTCCTCAGCATTGAAAATGTAACTGGTCTTAGCAGAGACATGCTGCAATTGTAAAGCGTGCATCAGTTTTGTAAGACTCTATGGGGAAAAGGGAAAGTACATCAATTTTTAAATATTGACTACCTGCTGAAAATGACATTTTGGATATACTGAGGCCAATAAATAAGATCTACTATAGCCCTGGCTGGTGTAGCTCAGTGGATTGAGCATGGGCCTGTGGAGCAAAGGGTCGCTGGTTCAATTCCCAGTCAGGGCACATGCCCTGGTTGCAGGCCAGGTCTCCAGTGGGGGACAGATTACAGGCAACCGCACATTGATGTTTCTCTCCCATTCTTTCTCCTTCCCTTCCCCTCTCTCTAAAAATAAATAGGTAAAATATTTAAAAAAAAAAAAAAAGATCTACTATAAAATTAATTTCACCTTATTTCATTTTTTTGACATGAAGGCTGGACAAGTTGAACTTACATGTGTGCTCTGCACTACTGGACAATGCTGCCAAAAAGATCTCCTAAGAGTGACGCTGCTGACCAGGGTGACCTCTAGGAAATGACGTTTTATCGGGTTTTTAAGCAAGCACTAAGCAGGAAGGGGATGTAACACTGACTGAGATTTCCGACCCTGAAGAACACTGTGATGCAGCAGGAGCCGGGGTGGACAAGCACCTAGTATCCAGTGCCCAGTCGCTGAGGCCCCGCGGGGAGAACAGAGTCCACAAGGCAAGCTCTGCCTGTGTTTGTTCTCTGATGTAATTCCAGGGACTGTAACAGTGCTTGGCACACACTGGAGCACCAGAAAATTACTTAGCCTTGAAGAATGAACAGGATTTCTGTAGTTTCTAATATTCTAAACATGAAGAAAGTCCTCTGGGAATGCAAAAGAAGACTGAAGCAAATCATATTATTATTATTCTTGATGATTAACAGCAGAAAATGTTGAGTGCTAATCCACAGAATTTTTATACCTTTAAAAGATGAAGTTACCTCCACCTTAAGTGTAATTGACCATCCAGGTCAAAGAATATGAATTTGTGCCTATTTGGCAATACACGGTATCTATACTGCAGGTCACTGCCAAAAGAATATACCCACAAATTATCTCCCCTCACCTACTACTGTTACCAAAAATCCATTTGGTCACCTCAGGGAGAATGCCTTTCACATTCCTCTGTCAGTATTTCTCAAAAATCTGATGCTGGCAGCCATGGCCTTCCATTTCAAAGTGAAACATTTTTTAAAATCAATGTTAGGGGCCCCAACCCAGACCAAGTGAGTCAACTGGGGGTGACCCGGTTGATTTCTCTGCATCAGTGGTCAGAAGCCACGGCCTGCAGGCCAAATCGGGCTAGCTGCCCATTTTTGTAAATAAAGTTTTATTGGAAGACAGCCATACCATTTTTTGGTCTATTGTCCGTGGCTGCTTTTGCAATACAACTGCAGAGTTACAGAACACTGAGAGATTTAGCTTGCAAGGCCTGAAATATTATCATCAGGCTCTCGACAGCCCAAGTTTGCTGACAATGCTCTAACTGAGCTGACTTTTATTCTGGACCAACTCAAAACACCAAAGGACTGTGCTGCAGCCTCAGAGAATGAAGTCAAATGAATTCTGGTTTGACAGAAAAGTCTCTGGCTTGCTCTGACAGGGAAGGCTATTTTTAAAACCTCTCAAAACCAGTCCCTGGAGGAATGGCTGCTGAGGACTTCCCCTGTGCCCCCGACTCCCTCCGATGAGGCCCAGAGGCAGCACGGCTCTGTTCCCAGCACAACGAGTAACCTGTCTATGGACTGCAGTTATGAACGGCACACCCACCTCATCCCATGTATCTCCTGACAACACTCTCCGGGCTGGCACCCTTCTTGTGGCAAAAGGACACTGAAGCTCAGGAAGAGGCCGGCTACTGAGTAAACTCACACTGACCTCTGGACGGGAGCTCTCAGACCTACCTGCGTATCATCCCTACTGTGAGGTGCGACACTTACCACATTCAGAAAATCAGGTTCTGTTTTCTCAGTATCCAAGATATTTCCCTGCTTTACTTAAGCTAATGATCTACAGCAAATACAGTATTTCCCCACACCTGAATTCCTAACAAAACAAGGCAATATAGTAGAAAGGAGAAACATTTTACCTGATGTGTCTTATTTTGCCTATTTAAAAACTAAAAGGTACTGGGAAAAAACAAATGCAATGTGATGGTTAACACCTATGATCTCCAGAGAATGATCTGGGACTTACCTTATGAAATTACAAAAAAGAACAATTTAAACCCAATGTCAGCAGAAAGAAATACTACAGGGTAAGAACAGAAATCAATTAAACAGAACACAAAACAAAAAATATTAATGAAAACAAAAGCTGGTAGAGATCAATCAAAATTGTTAAACTGCAAGCCAGACAAACCAAGAAATATAAGACACAAATTAAAAGAAAAAACAAAACACCCTCATTACAGATCAATAGCAGTAAAATAAGGGAACACTGTTAACAATTATATGTTCACAAATTAAAGAAACAAACACTCTGAAAGATACAAGCTATCAAAGCTACCAAAAAAACCACAACAACAAACCCTAACTAACAAAAGAAACACATAAATGAATACTTCCATTTAACATCAAAGAACTTGACTTTACACTTAAAAGCCTTCCCACAAAGAAGACTCCAGGACCACTGATGAATCCTACGTAACATCAACCGCGCCAGAGAACACAAGAGGAAGGAATGCTTCCCAACTGCTTGCTAGTGGCTAGTGGCTAGTGGCTAGTAGCTTTCTCTGACGCCAAAACCAGATAAAAATAATACACGAAAAAAAGTACTGACCAGTGTCTTTTATGAGGACAGAAACAGTAGCTTCAAAACACATCAGCAAATCAATCCAGCAATATATAAAATGGATGCTACATCACAACCAAGAGAAATTTATCTTGGGAATGCAAGGCTGTTCAACACTCAAAACACAGGAAATTGACCATACCAATACACTAAGAAGAAAATTTATGATAACCTCATTTCTTTTCTTTTTTTTTTTAAGGTTTTATTTATTTATTTTTAGAGAGAGGGGAAGGGAAGAAGAGAGGGAGAGAAACATCAGCATGTGGTTGCCTCTCATATGGCTCCCCACTGGGGACCTGGCCCACAACCCAGGCATGTGCCCTGACTGGGTATTGAACTGGAGACTCTTTGGTTCACAGGCTGGCACTCAATGCACTGAGCTACACCAGCCAGGGCGACTTGCCCATTTTTAAAGGGAAAGAGGCAGACCAGGACTCAAGGGCAAGGCGGACAAAGCTCTTACTCTTACCCAGCTTGCTATTTGCTCTGTGCCCGTCTGCAAGTGTTTAAGCAATAGCTCAGGGTCTACATGTTTCAAATCAACAAGTATCTTTTAAGATTTTATTACCCACACGACCTGTTTTACTTTAAATCCCAAGCCTACGGTGCATGCATATGTACTCAGAAAGGCTGAAGCAGTTTACAATTTATGTAACAGTGTCTTTTATCTGATCACTCAAAAATTTTAAAATAAGTTTCTTCACACAGGAATAAAAACAGCAAATATACAAATAGCCACACCAAAGGGATATTTGAAAAAGTAATCATGTTCGCCTTTGACCTTCATAAAGAATTTATTGCAAGTCTGATTTTAAACAAAGGAATATAGAAAAGTTTTCCCCCTTTCTTTGGGCTTCCTGACACCTGGCTTTCCTCCATTGTTTCCAAAAGCTGCCAATATCCTGAGTTACACACGATTGTTTACTGCGGCAGAAACTCACCCTGTGAAGCGTCACCGTGTGCTGTTCCCATATAGCGGTTTCCTCCATCGCTGTGCTCTGATAAAGGAAAAGAAAAACAAGTCATTTATCTTTTAAGAAAATATCTTTAATAATGTGAGCAAGAACATCTAGTGAACAACTCAGCACATTAACATCCATACTATTATATTAGATACTCTGAAAAGAGCTTAATAATTATGAAAGGGTTTCTTGTTGTTGTTGTTTGCTTTTGCTGTAAGAGACAGGAAACTAGACACAGGAACTTCCTTTGTTTTTAACTTAATTTGGACAGATGCCGCTCTGTTCCCTTCTTGCCAGCTAAAATCAGTATTCCAGCTAATTCTGCAACTTTGTACTTAACATGAGGTAGAAAATAATAAAGGCTGGAATAGTATTATCTTAAAATATCTACTGACACGCAAAACATTTTGAAGCAGTCCTTACGCTGTGCAAAGAAAAGGGGAAAGTCAAATACCTCTTAACTCAGCAATTATAAATATTCATGTTACAGGAAACAAGATGGAACCATTTGATAGGCTTGGTCAATGGATGCTTGCATATTACAGTTAAACACTATTGTCCTACCTAGTTAAGATTATACTACAAAATTGTCTTCAAGCTTTTTTTTCTAGGGAGGAATAACAGCTTTTCTAGTATACTATTGCCCACACGTGAAACAAAAAAAAAAAAAAGAAAGAAAAACAAATAGACAACTCCATAAAAACTCCCCCAAAATCACCATAAAGTAGAGCAATACAAGCTCCAATGAAGGTCCTACTCAAACCACTGCGTAGAGTTCAGGTTCATCTACAGTCAAGAAACTCTTACTAGAGAGGGAAATAAATTACTACCTGAGGGATGGACACTAAAGAATTCAAAATAAATTTCTTATAAATTGTGTTATGCTCTTGGAGGCTTTAAGTAATTCAGCCCCTCTTACTGTTACCCCTTTATGGAATTGGGGCTCCTAAAAATAATGCACCGATAAAGTTTCTTTAAAGGCCTTTGCAGAGATAATAAAAGGCAGGAGGGGGGGTGCTGAGCACAGCGTTCTGTTGTGACTGCCCACTTCCCAGGCGCCAGCTGTTTCCCATCACACCCTGTCATCAGCATCACGACATCGTGCCCATGAAGGTGCCAGGGGCCCATTTCTCCTTTCCCACAGCGACTTTAACCACAGATTAATGCTACTTCAGAAAATGAATCCCTATGAAGAAAGCCTGCTTCCCTAAACCCAAAGCAACTAGATTAACTTTCCTGCCCAATGAATAAGAGAGGGAGAGAAAGGATCCCTCTGTTCACTCCCACAGATAAGAACTGCCAAGCTTACCAGTGTTTTGTTTCAACCTTCCAATCGAGTGCAGCAAGCCTCCCTTCAATGAGACCTCTGCTGGAAACAGGGCTGTTTTGTTGTTTTGACAAAAATTGACCATGATTCAATGTATTAAAAGAAAACCCCTCCATCGGTATGAAGCAATGATGATGTAAGTAATTCTGCTGACAAGCATTAAGAGGTCTACCAAAAACACAGATGATCACAATATCTGCCCTAACTGCCCATCTGCCCAACCTTCACTGACATAGTAAAGACTTGAGCTGCTGCACAGTCCCAGCTCCTCTCTTCATGACCCCCCCTCCAACCTCGGCACTGTCTCTGGACTTTCCAATCCCCTTCCCATCAGTGCGAACTGAGAGGTACCCAAGTGCAGGCAATGGCCTGGACAGCTAGGGTATGAAAGGGTTCACCATCCACCATGTGGTTTTAATGAGCACAATTTTCCATTTTGCGAGAGAATATCGATCAAATGGGGAAACTGGCTTAATGTTAATTCTGTGAAACAGCTTACAGGTTGTTAGCCTCGCTTGGTTGAAACATGAGTGGGAAAGGCAAGGCTGAAAGGACAGACAGAATGCTGAGAGTGATCATATCCAAGTGCAGGGATCATGGGTGACGATTCTTCATTAGGTCTTTTATCTCTGGGTTCTCCTTTCATCATTCCCAACCTCAATACAGGGCCAAAGTATTTTAAGCCACATTTAACAAATCCTGTTTGAAGCTTCAAATATCTATTTTTAACTTAGCTTTTAGGAAAACCAAGTATTTAAGAAGACTATTTTGTGTTATAGTTAATTATAAAAAGCATTTAATCTACTGTTACTAAGGGATTCACCATATTTTCGGACTGTAAGACGTACCCCCCCATTTGGGAGGAGCAATGGCTGTTAATGCTGCTGTTGAGTTGTTTACATTTACATTGGTGAAATATTATGTTATCTATGTTATTAAATATTTTTCCACTTTTTTGCTTTGAAAAATTTTCCCTGTTTTTCTCTAAAACCTAGGTGTGTCTTATGGTCCGAAAAACACATACAGTAAGGTCTTACAGTACAAACTTGAAGGGGAGTACCGTAAGAGAAACTTCAATTGTTTTGTTGGTATAAGGTAAGGGGGAAAACAAAAATACTAAAACAATTCTTCTCCACATGCCAATCAAAATATGTTTCTTCTTTGGAGGGATTAGAAAAGCACACATCTCAACTAACTCAATGGCTTCCCCCAAAAAGGGTGACATAGTGTGGTACCTCACTTCTCTATGAAGGCCAGACATAGTCTCATTAGCTTGGTTTATCAGATGGGAGACCTCCACACAGGAAGGCAATAGAGAATCAAACCTCGGAAAGGGTGAGGAGGTAGGCTCTTGACCAGCACACTAAAACAATTCAATCCACAATATAAATGTGTATTATGCCCTGCCAATACTTATCACTTAAAAAAAAAACACAATAAAATGTATCCCTAGGTTAAACAATGAACCCTGTCATCTCTCTTCACTCCTCAGCCCTTAGTTTCCTTCAGTAGAAAAAGCAGCAAAATTCTAGCCACAGTTGGTTGTAAACCCAGCACACCCCAAGAGGAGTCCTGAATGCACTGAGGGATGCCCAGGCAGATGAACACACTGATTTGTGGTATGCAAATACAGTAAAATAGAAGAAAATCTCAGCTGTCAGGACTCAAGGCTATTCGTTGTAAAGTTCTTTCAACTCTGCTCTATTCGAAAAACAACCGCCATCAACTGTGGAGGGGTGAAGGGGAGGAGCATCTTACAGTACACTGCTCAGAAACTGAAGGCTAAAACGGAGAAAAAACGGGTACCAGTGAATTTATCAGCACTCTTTTTGTGAGCACTACCACACAGACGAAAGGAGAACGGGGCTTCCTTTGGAAGATCTAAACAACAAGGGGTCTCTGGAGTGCAGCAATGGAAATGGGGGTGGGCTGGTAAGAATCTTTTCGCTATGAACCCTCTTGCAGTTTTCATCAAGTTCATCTATTATCTAGTCAAATAAATGATTTTTAAAACAACCCTTATTGTAAATTTGCTTGTCATTTTTCTCATGACGAAGGTAGTGTTCTCAAAAAAAAAAAAAAAAAGGAAAGAAAAAGAACGCATAATCATAATTTTATACTTGGACCAAGACCTTCCAGAAATCTATACTTCTCGTTCCCCAAACGTCCAGGTTTGTGAGAGACCAAGGAAAAAGTGTGATTCCTACAGCAGGATTCCAGCACGACCACTTCTCAGTAACTCTGAAAAATGCTGTTAAACAGAAAATGAGCCACACTAGAAATAGCAAGACCAGAGCCCAGATCTGCCATTAACTACTAGATAGGTGACCTCAGTTGTCCTCACCTATAAAGTTAGGGAACTGCTTAAGATTTTCTCAAGTGAAAACATCCTCTGGCTCCAAAATGCTACCAGACCACAATTCCAGCTGTAGTTAGTCCCCACAGGCCACCAATTCCGTACACAGTGACGCACCCCAGAAGGCACGGAGATACTGCAATTCGTGACTACTGGATCCTCGGCCCTGCATCCATTTCTCAGTCAGCACCAACTGACTAGAATCACAATTTCTGAAGAAGCAAAAAGCTGCATTTCAGAATCTACCAAGAGCTTCTTTGGTTCCTTTGTTCCAAGCTCCAGCTGGCAAAGACACTACTCAGATGGCCAACTCGGAAGGGCTTCCTGCCAAAACTTCAGATCCCCATTCTAGGCAGTTTCACTGTCCTTTAGGGCGAATGACAAATCAAATGGAGAAAAGACTGGAGAACAGAAACTGAAAACACAGGGTGAACCTATAATTGGAAGAAGGTCAAATCAAAAAATAGAATAAATAAAACTAGTGTTCTCCAAATAATGAAAAATCATAACGTTTAAGAAAAACCTTATACATTATCTAAATATATAAGCAGCCAGTTAAATTTTACTATCCTTATGGCTATAATAATAAAAGCATTCATTCATTCATTCATTCATTTATTCAACAAACATTTACCAGACATACTAAGTGCTGTGGAGACAAAGGTGTCCCCCCACTCCTTCCCACCCAAGAAGGCTTGGAACAATGCACCAGTGGTTTGTGAGCAACGCTGTCCTGGGGGATGGAAGGACTGTGTGTGCTGCGATGATCAGAGGCCGAGTCTCCGAGAAAGCAACACTGGCTTGAAGGGTGACCAGGAAAAAGTGCGGAAAGTTGTTTCAGAGGAAGAAACAGTGTGTCATCAAGGTTATGGATGCTGTACACAGAACTGGCTTTGATATGGCCGACAAGCTCCACCTGTGGACTAGGCAAAGGTAGAAAGAGAAGCTGCCCAAGTAACATCATGACAGGTCCGTAATGCTACAGACTTGAAACTCTAGGGGCAATCTCTAGGGCATGTGAGGCGGTCAAATGACACATGAAGGCTGTGGTGTGGGAGATGGTTTGTGGCAGGGAGACCAGTTAAAAGTTCAAGTGAAAAGGGAGAGGGGTCAAAGAGGGCTGTTTTCTCAATTAGGGGACTGAAGGAAAAAGCAGACACAAGATTACAAATTCAGTTTAACATCCTTAAGTTAAGGTTCCCATGGAACAATTGGTGAGGAGTAACAAGCATAGGCAGTTAAGATCAAGACCAAGATCGGAGTAAATAAGGACCCAAAAGTAATTAACAAAGTAGTATTAAACCCAAAAGAAGAAGACTATACTTTCAGGGATCATTTCTATAGTCCGTTACT